TTTGAACTTTTCTTTGAGAGTCGTAGGGTCGTACATACACATACATGAGGCTGAGGAAGTGAGCTTTGCTCTCCGCATTCTCTTGCTTCCCTTACCGGAGAGCTACTTTCACATTTGACATTTTGCACGCACAACAATTACAGTTAAAATGACATACATATGTATGCTTATGTGTGTGTGTGTGTAGCTTACATTTACATATAACGTGAAATTGTGCTAAATAGAATCAGAGTGTGTGAGTGTGTGTGTTTGTGTGTGCGCGCCTTCTTACATATATGACATATGTGTCTATAAACGTATATATTTGTATATTGGCTGGTTAGAATACAGATTCCGCTGAGCGCGAGAGGTTAACGGGATGCGAAGGACTGCGTGCCAGGCGCTTCTTTGGCAAATGCTCCAGCAAGGAGAGCAGGCGTGCAAAGTCCGGCCTGTGCTCCTTTTCGTAGGTCCAGCACAGCATCAGCAGGTCCTTGACATCGCGACCAGACTGCAGATTGGCCAGCGATTGTTTCATGCCGCGCCCCACTTGCCAAATGATAGATTCCGCCGGTTGATCCTTAAACGTGAATTCGCCGCAAATTAGCTCGTACCAAACGGTGCCAAATGAGTAAACATCCGAATAGGATGTAAACTCTAGACACTCGCCTGGTGGCTTGCACGGCTGCAGGGCGCGTATTAGTTCCGGGGCCAGGTAGCAGAGCCAGTTTTGTGGAACACCCAAGCCCATATCACAGTACAGCAGCTTTGTGGAGCTGAAGAGGCCAAAGTCCGTAATGATCACCTTGCCATTCTCTATAAAAATGTTCTTGGTGCGCAGATCCTTGTGTATTATGTCCCTGGCATGCAAATAGCCCATGCCCTGGGCAATCTGTTGGGCAATCAACAACGTGCGATTCATTGCAAACTTCTCCCTTCGCTGATGTATATAGGTGTATAGGGTGTTGCCCTTGCACAGCGCCGTGACAATGGCCAGATACGGCGGATTCATGCAGGCTCCCATGAACAGAACCAAATTCTCGTGACGCGTCTTCTTGAAATTGGCCACCTCGTTGCGAAACGATTCCAGCATGTGCTCGTCCTGCAGATAGTCTTCATTGAGCAGCTTTACAGCGACATCGCCATGCCACAGAGCCCGATGCACGGTGCCAAATCGACCCTGTCCAATGCGCTCCAGCAAGTGCAAATCGCCATAGGGTATATCCCATTCCTTCAATGATATGGAGTTCTGCCGCCACTGGCCCGAGTCGCCATCCTCTGTGGAGTCCAAACGCACAGGCGTGCGATCCGAGTCGGTGCTGGCGCTGCCCGACAACGAAACCGTCTTGTCGCTATCATTCGACTTGTGTGTGTCCGTATATTCGCTGGTGAAGGGCACTCGCTTGTCCACGCCAGCATTGCTCAATTTCCGCGGAAAGAAACTGCCGCTGTTCACCAGACTGGAGGTGTAGGTGGCCGAGCTGCTGCCACTCACATTCGACACTTGCGAGGTAGCCGAATGCGTGGACACTTGACTTCCAGTCAGCGAGTGCAGGTGACCATTGGAGCAGCTGCTGCTGCTGCTGTTGTTGTTGGCGCTGCTCCCGTTGTTGGAGTTGCTGTTGTTGTTGCCATTGGTCAGCGTAGACTCCGTTGTGGCCATATGAGCTTGCGATTCATTGGATATGAGCGTTTGAGCAGCGCTGGCGTTACTATTGCAGGCATTGATGCTGGTGATGGTCACGTTGGGGAAATTGAATTGACTCTGTTGACCCTGTTGTGCTGCTGCTGCTGCTACCGCTGCTGGTGCTGGCTTCGGCTGGCAGGCGCTGGGCGTGGCCAGTTGTAGTTGCTGCTGCTGGAACAATGCTGGACTGCTGGGCGTGGAGCTGGTGCAGCTCGAGCTTGGTGAGCTGCTGTCTCCGTGCTGCAGCTGTGGCTGCTGCAATTGCGGTTTGCCCAGCGTGCTCTTCCTAGGCACTGGCGACGCCTTGCTGCTGCTGTGCTGTGCTGGGTCCCATCTGCCGCCCACCTGAGTTTGGCGAAACTCGTGAACATATTCGGGTGGCAGGCCACACGAGGGCGGCACATGCGGCTCACAGGACTTGTGGCAAATGTATTTGCAGTCGGTGCACTTGAACCAGTGGCTCATCATCTGTTTTTGGCACAGTTTGCACGTGGCCACGAAGCCAAACCATTTGGTGAAGCGGTGCTTAATAGTATGACCCATGCCCACATGCGCCACACCTGGCGAGGGAGGCACTAGTAGGACATTGGAGCTGTTGATGCTGCCACCATCCACAAAAAAGTCCGAACTGCTGGCCGAGCTGTGGCTATCCGGGCTAGGATCTGTGGGTAGTCGGCTCCGCGGCGGCCGTGGAGGCTGCTCTGCGAGTGCCGTCTCCGAAGCGCTGCTGTTGTGCATGAGCAGCGTTTGATGTTTTTTGGCGGGTGGTGGCGTTCCCGCCGCTGTTGTAGTACTGCGGCTGCGCTGCGGAGTGCCGCTGGCGGATGCCGTCCCTGAGGCGGGCGTAAAGGGCGAGTTGGGTGGCGAGGGCGTCAGTGTTAAGGTCAACTGAGAGCCAGTCAGTGGTTGCTGTTCGCTGCGGGAGCTTGAGGCAGAGTTGTTAACAATTTTCGGCTTGCTGTTTGCATGTTGATGTTGATGTTGATGCTGACGATGATGGGCGCGTGGTGAGGCGCTGCTTAGTCCGAGGCCAATATTGCCAATGCTGCCGCGGTGCATGTGATGCGGATGGGGTCGATCCCAGGAGTCCCAGTGCCATTGTTCCGGATCGACGTTGGACGCAACTGCGCCGCTGCTGTCCAGCGTTTCCATGCATTTTCGGAGATTATGCATCGCTTTGGTCAGACGCCGCAGTTCCTCGTCCAGCTGGGTACTCGAATTATGGGCAAGCAGTTGTTTCAGTTCCTCGTCGCTCAGCTGCAATGTTTGCTCCAATGTCGTTAGACGCGCTAGGCATGCATTCAGTGACTCCGGACCGAGTCCAACTACGCGCAGCCATTGGCGCAACTCGTTCCCGGTAGCCTGGTGGTGGGGCAGCAGCCCGTTGGCGGGTATGCGTTCGTTGAGTCTCGTTTTGGTCAAGAGCAGCTCGGAGAAGTAGCGCACCAGCTTGGACTCTAGGCAGCGGATCTCCTGTTGCGTCAGCGTCGCGCTCGTTGCGCACTGTGTTCGCAGACCCTCCAGATGGTTGGCCGAGAGATCAATCATATCCTGTATGATGATTAGATTGCTTTCGCTTGCAGTCGTCGTTGTATTGTTGTTACTGCTGCTGCTACTGCTGTTGCTGACTGGCGGCGCAGTCAGCTGGGCGGCGGCGCTGCTGCTCATTTTGTTGTGGCCCGCCCGCCCCTTCCAGCAGTACAAACTGATTGATTTTTTCAGACGCACTTACAAATCATTTGTTGTTTGCACCACTTTGACACACATTCTGTCCACATCAACCAGCTTTTTTTGCTTGCTGCAAGCACACATGAACAGCCCTGCGAAATGCGGACTTGGAGACAGCTTCTGCTATGAGAAAAACGCGAAAATTTTTATAGTTTTTGGGGGGCAGACAAAACGGGTGCCGTGTTGTCGCCTGCACGCACGAAATTTCTCTACACCCAAGTAGTAGAGCTGCGTAACTATCGTCGATTGTATCGATATATTTCTCTTCGATTAAGTAGATGTATCGATTAATTATTTTTATCGCAATATATAGTATATACCGCATATAATTTTGAATTGACTTTTTTTTTTTTTTATTAAATACTATTGAAACCAATTTATATGTATTTAAACTAGATCTTTGGTATATATAATATGTAAATTTTCGTAAACTTAATTATTTAACTCAACGAAGTTAAGATGTATCAATAGTTTTCTGTTAACACATCCCCGCCATTCACATTAGATCACAATTAATCAAACAAATATGGTTTTGATCTGGCTTTTTGCAGGTACTCGATATAGCTTTAAAATGGCCAAATGATATTATTGCCAATGGAAACTATAAAATTGGTGGACTTATCGTGAATACCACATTATTGGGCTCGCAAGCGATAGTCAATATTGGCTGCGGAATTAATTTAAACAATTCAAAACCGACGGTGTGTATTAATGATATGATAAATGAGTATAATGTGCGAATGCCTAATGCTAAATTGCCTTTACTCAAATATGAGCAATTTATTGCAATGATTTTTAATGAAATGGAAAGAATATTGGCTGAAGTACAAAACGGAGATTTCGATACTTTCTATTCCTTGTATTATGAACTTTGGTTGCATAGGTAATATTATTAGCTTTAAAAAATATGGACATATTTTTACTACGCATTATATATTTTAGTGATCAAAACGTTACTATATGCCTGCAAAATGATCAAGAAAAGGAAGCCTCAATTATTGGAATCGATGACTTTGGATTCTTAAAAGTAAGACTAGTGAATGGCACAATTGAAACTGTTCAGCCCGATGGAAACAGTTTTGATATGCTAAAAGGATTGATAGTACCTAAATACAATTAGCTTAATTATTAAAGGAATTCTTATATAATACTAACTATTTATTCCTAACTATTTTTGTGTAAACTTATATATATATATATATATATACATATATACATACTCGAACTAACAACAGTTTGGAATTTTAGAAGCATTTAGATATACTTGTTAATTATATCCAATTATATATTTTCAAATTTCTTCACTTAAAGTGAACATTGATTCGATACTTATAATAACATATTACATAATATTTGGATCATTAACACTGCCAATCTTCAACAAAATTCAAAATAATATTGTTCTACTTTCATCAAAAGCGTGAAATTGCCATTTAACCAAAATATATGTGTCTTAAATCTTGAAATCGTTATAATTGAAAAAATATTACTTTCCCAATATCTATGTGTTTACCAATTACTGATTTAAATAAAATCATACAAAACCAAGCAGTCTATAATAATAAAAATAAAAGTGTGCTGTTGACAATTTGGTATTTGCGGCAATATTGTGAATTTGGCATCATTTGGTATTTTTAATAGCGCTGGTCACATTGCTGGCGAACAGGGTGGCCATTCTTATTTTTATATGTGCATAGTCTTACTTGCAGTGAACGAAACTACCAAACCAGACGATTTATATAAGCGCCCCGGATAAAAAGGATTAAAAAGAATAAAATATGGCGCAACGTAATCATCGAGTAGATCGTTTTGCGCAAATGAGCAAGCAGGAGGAGATAATTGCCAAAAAGCGACAGGAAATACTTGAGAAACAGCGCACGGCGCAGCTGGCTAAGGCGGTGGCAGCTGCTCAAACTTTGGCTGCCCAATTGAAAACCATTGAGACGTCAACGTCAACGACGACGCCAGTGGAGGAATTGGAAGAGCATGAGCAGGAGGAAGAGCAGCCAGCACCATCGCAAGCTTCACCAACAGCAACGGCGCCAGCCGATGAGGGAAACGGTTTGGAAATAGAAAACGGCGATCTAACGGGGTCAGCTGCTAAATCTAAAAACGACGATGGTACGTCCAAAACGCTCAACAGTTTTACTGGTAAGACGGGCAAAATTACGTTTAGCCTGAAACGGCAACAGCTGCCGCAGCCCAGTGTTGAGCAGCCACCACCCAAAGTGAAAAATACGTTTTGTAATGACGGTTCGTTTCTGGAGAACTTTAAGAAAATCCTTGAAAAACACGAACAACCTAAACCGCCCATTATGGTGGCGCCCGTTCCAATGCCAAGGTAAGGAACTGTTATTCTTGTTTGCAGCGAAATTCCTTAACATTCAGTTCCCACACAGCACTGAGGAAAACAGCACTGGGGATACTCTCAGCACCGAAAACAACAGTCCCCAGCAGTCGGTGGATCTGGCGGTTAGTACTATAGCGACAAGTGCAGCGGCTGTGATAGCTACTTCCATGGCTGGCAGCATAACAGTATCCAGCGCAGGGCACAATCATTTAACATTTACCATGCCAGTGACAGCAACAGCGATGCCGCAGGCTGTGCAACCACCGCCACCGCCACCGTTTGCATTCAACCCAACACTTTTGGCACAGGGGCCACCTCAAATGACAATGCCGGCCTTCTTCCATGGACACCATCATCTGCCTATGCAGCTACATCCCGCTGCGGTGGCACCGCCGCCGCCGCCACCACCTCCGCCACAGCTGCCCATGTCGTTGGCTAATTTGACGCCAATTTATATGCAATTAGGACCAACGCAGATGCCACCCGAATCAGCTATGCATCAATTGAACGCCATACCGGCACCCAAAGACTTTGACCTGAATGCTATACCAAAACCGCAGATTAATCTGGAAGCCATACAGATGCCCAATGTAACTCAGGCAGAGCAGCTGGGTTTGCTGCCGGAGCATGTGACGATCAATCCACCTCCACCACCTCCGCCTCCTATGCAGTCAGAGGAGCAAGCATCACAGCAGCCGCAGTCACAGCCCCAGCAGCACCAGAATCTGCAGATGCTGCAGCAGATGCAGTTGCAAGTGCAGCCACCGACACCTCCAGCCGAAGGTGTGTATTGTTAGCTGGGCAATTGCCTTTGTCTGTTCTGTTCTGCCAAAAACCCTTAGTAACCCATCCAGTAACCTATATCCTCGATCCTTCATCCTACCATTCAAATTGAAAACTTCCTACATCTCAATTATTTTCATTTTATATATATTACAAATCGTTGTGCACGATTTTAAAGCAATTTGTGTAGTTTTTTCAGAAACGTGCATACCATTGCCAACGTGCATAGAAAACCTTATCGCACTGGTCGCCGAAAATGGTGAAGATTACGAAGATAAAATACGTTTGCATAGAAGCGAACTGCATCCGGCCTTGTGGTAAATCAGCTGCACATTATCATGCGCAGGGCACTTTAACTATTAAGTGGTGGACAGCATTTAGAAAATTACCAGAAAGATCAGGTATTTTCGGTTTCCCGAAGATTTAATACCCTTGCAGACCTCAAAACATAGCTTCAATCTTCGACTGATCGTTCCCATGGGCAAAGTTATTTAATATTCCGATATTTCTTGTCGCAGCTCTAGAGTTATATATTTTAGTGATTCAGTCCGATAGACAAACAAGTAGCTTGGGGGACTAGTTTACATAGATTAACGGATGAACAAACGGACATTGACCGACCTCTTGATATTTGTATGGTCGGAGATTTCGTGTTAAAATAAAAACACCCTCTGCAGGGGTATAGAATTAACTAATAGGTTCACGGTCGCTTAAACGTACAGAACTGGACATACTTACGACTAATGCCCATGAAAAAGTTTCCAAATTTTAATATTTGCTTAGTTCTCTGAAGCTCATCTTGTGCAATCGATTCTGTAGGAGCTATTTGGTACAGTTGTAGTCCGGGTGGTGCTGGCCCATGGCATCGAACTCCACGGATTTGTCTAGATTGAGGCTAAATATGTTAGAGATTAGGGCGCACGCATCACACACATATCACACACTGGCCGTATGTTGCCGTCGCCTTTCAACTGGAGGAGTAAGCTGAAGGATTCTATAAAAGCACACTACTAAATGGGCGCCAAAAAAAAAAACAAACAGTTACTCAACTCATATAATGTCTTTGTATACTGAATGCAATTGGGCATTTTTCATTGTAAGTTTCACTTCTTCTTTAAAATTTTAAAATAGGTTTCTTTATGATAAGAACTGCGAGCAATATCGAAGCTATCGCTCACAACTGCTCGATTACGAACGCCAGCGCGGCGAGCGAAAGCTTGAGCGGGAGCGGGAGCAGCAGCTAAGCAAGATACAGCAGCAGCAACAACAACAGCAACAACAACAACAGCAGCAGCAGCAGGATGACCACAGTAACTCAGCAGCAGACAAATACGATCCGGAATCGGCAATTAGCGCCGATTTTGATTCAGATGATGAGTATATGCGCGGCATGATGGATCGCAATCGCGATAATATTAAGCGACGCATCGAGTGCCGCAACGAGCTGAGCGACGAGGAGCGACGGGAGCGAGAAGAGGAGGCTGCAATGGCAACTGCCGGCGATCCGCACGAGCTGCACCAGGACGATAGAGAGACCCAGCGGCAGCGCCGCAAGCGCGAGCGCAAAAGTCGCTGGGGCGAGAAGGAGCAGCTGCCAAGCGGTTCAGGTGAGTGAAAAGCTTAAGATTGGATTAACATTAAATTTATATAATGTTGTACGATCAACTCTAGGCGCACCGACAACCTTTGGAAACCAGAACAAGCCCATGTTGAGCACAGTCACGCGCAACGATCCGGCCTTGCTGCAGTACGCACGTCTTAATTATGGATCCACTCAATTGTCGGAGGACCAATGGAAGCAATGCGAAGAGCACTACAAAGTCAATTTGTTGTACCAGGACATGATGCGCAAGCGCCAGGAGATCGATCGCCTGGCACGAGGCGGAAAGTTTAAATACGAGTATGACTCTGATGAGGACATCGAGGGCGGCACCTGGGAGCACAAGCTGCGTACTGCTGAAATGGAGGCCACACACTTGTGGGCCAATGCGCTAACCAAACAGAGCGAGGGCAAGCATCACATTGGTGATTTTCTGCCGCCCGAGGAGCTGAAAAAGTTCATGGAACAGTACGAAGCAAAGAAAAACAACAGGCAGCCGGATTTAAGTGATTACAAGGAGTACAAACTAAAAGAAGATAACATTGGCTTCCAAATGCTACAAAAGCTAGGCTGGAAAGAGGGCCAAGGATTAGGCCAAGACGGTGCCGGCATTGTGGATCCCGTCAACAAGTAAGTGAAGAGAAACTGTTCTCAAATTATTATAATAGGGGTTTAGGTGCCATTAGTTTACTCCAAATGCGAGTAGAGCTAAGAAAAATCTCTAAGATGTCTTGTTATTTATGAAAACTTTTATTTGCAGAGCGCCACAGCGTGATGGCAACCAGGGCCTGGGCGTTGGCAGCGCCGCTCAGCCAGAGGATTGCGATAATGAGTATGATGCATATCGTAAGCGCATGATGTTGGCCTATCGTTTTCGACCCAATCCGCTGGTGAGTTTTCGATTGTGTTTACGTGATCTAAAGATTGTTTAAAAATGTGTTTTTCTTTTGCAGAACAATCCACGTCGCGCCTATTACTAATTCACAAATTGCAAGCCTCAACGCATAAAAGTAATAACTGATGCTTTATATTTCTTAAGATTCACTTTCTGGACCCGTTCATATTCTAATCACCCTCATATACACGAATTATAAAGTTCAAAGTACGTTGACCGCTGACCACAATGAAGATTTGCTGAAGTTCTTTAACTGGATTAGATACCACAAATTGTAGTTGTGTTTATTATTAGTCATTATATTTAGACAATATTCATATACGCGCAGTATTGTTCGTCATCAACTTAAAAGCTATGGCTATAATGTACGCTCTAAGGACTATCAAGTTGTGTTTGGGGATTGTGTTTTAGGAGTTGCTTCGTGTTTTATATAAAAAGTACATATTCCGTAGGTGGGTGGCTACGCGGAACTTGAACGCCTAAACGCTAATAATACTAAATTGTACTCGAACTGGAAACGTTGGCTTGGCCTTAAGAGTAGAGTGTCAGCACCGGCGTCTGGTTGCCGCGTGCCAGCGCCACGGGGCACTTTATATCTGACGTTAGCATTTCCAGCCACGACATGTAAAGCGGCGCCGAAATTGCCTCCTGCAATTAAGATAATGATAATGTATGTAGGAATAAAGTCAGGAATATGTTTAGTCTGCATACACACCTTTCGCGGCATAGGCAGGGACATGACCACCAGCGAGGCGTTCGATGAGTGCTTGACGACCAGCTCGTGGATGCGCAGCTGCCGCTGCGTCTTCTCCGCCATGCTGTGCAGCTCCTCGTCTGTGATGCCAAACTCGTTGCGGGCACTGCGACGGAAGGGCTCGATGAGCCGTTTGTGCTTGAGTATCGTATCATGACGTGGCTGGTCTTGGACGCCCTTGAGCATAATTAGCTCTGAGTATTTGATGCGGAATTTGGTCAGAAGACTGGCCATGCTGTAAAACAAAAGGAATATATATATATAAATTTGTTTAAGGACTTGCATTTGTCTGGCCCAGCTTACCTCTTCTCCTCCTGCTCCTCGTCCTTGCCATGGCACATGGTAAAAACGCGCAGCTTGCAGTTCTGCCAATGCGAACGCATCGAGATGATGTAGGGTAGCAAAATAGTCAGACCTGACAATTGGCAAACACATTCATCAAAGTCCAAAGAAGGTAAATAATATTGTTGAACTTACCGCCGTCATCGTACAGCCAGAAGACATCGATGGTGCTCTTGGCCTGTTTGCGTGTGAATATGGTCATCGCGTCCAGAATAGTCTTTGGCACCTCGGAGCCACCTTTAGTGTGGTAGGTAATGGCGGCGGCGTCGCTATTGTTGACTTTGTAGCTGCGGGCACCGCGCTGCATGTTGGGCATGGGCGCCTGTTGTGGCATGGTGAACGAGGCGTTGGGACTGGGGCTATCCATGCTGGCCAGGTTCAAGTTCGAGTCGATGTGCAGCAGCTCGGAGGCAGCATTCGCTGCGGGCAGCAGCTCGTTGGCAAAGCCTTGGGCGTTGGCCGTCTGCAAGTGGCCCAAGTTGCCTTCGGGCATCGTCACCTCGGGCGTTAGCTCCGAGAAGTCCAGGCCGTTGGGCAGCCGCAGCAATGCCACGCCCATGCGCTGCGAAAAGGCGTTGCTGCAAGAGTGAGGGTAGTTAGGATTCAAGGTGTTGCTGCAACATCATATACTTTTTTTGGTTTCTTACTGCAAAATGGCAAAGTAGCTCTCCACCTCCTCCTTGCGGCAACTGTTCCAGTCCGGCTTATAGCCCACGAGCACAATGTTGGGCGACATTTTGCCAAAGCCCGTGGTCTTGATCAATGCATTGATCCCATCCTCGATGCTAAAGCCGTCGATCACATTGTAAAAAGCTTTGATTTTGCGCGCGTCCAAATACTTTTGGCCATCCTTCAGCAGATTCAGGCGATTCTTATAGCCAACGCGTACCTAAAATATATTTATTCCATCGATTAACCAAATGATATAGACATGATTTAGACGGACACCTACCGGTATTATGTTGCCCACAAACATGAGGGAGTTGTTCTTGGTCAGCAGATAGCCAAAGTCGACGAGCGGCGGGCGGGTTTTTGGATCTCCGGCGAGTACTAGCACTTGGGGATGATAGTTCTTGACATGATCCGAGACGTTCTGCAAACGATGCACGGCCATTAAGGCGGCCTTGTACTGCTGCGCCTGCGTGGTGGAGCCCCAGTTGGCATCCGGCTTGCGGTACATGACTACCAGATAGAGCGCAAAGATGATGCCGAAGGTCAGAATGGCGGCCACATAATTGATAAGGAACATGATGGCCACGCACATCGCAAACCCGAACAGACTTATCCAGGCGTTGTAGTACTTGAAGGTGGGACGCCAGCCGAGGGGCTTGACGAAGGCCGCGTGAAACGTACAAAAGTTGATGAGGGCATACGAGGCCAGGTAGAAGGTGGAGATGAGCGGCGCTATTAGATTCAGTTCGCCAATCAGCAGGAAGCTCGTCGAGATGAAATAGGTCAGCACATAGCCGCGATAGGGCTCGCCATGTTTGCCGTAGGGCTTCGAGAAGTAAATGAGACCCGGATAGATCTGATCGATGCCCAGAGCCTGAACCAGTCGCGGCACAGACAACAAATTCGTTAGAGCCGTGCTCAGCGTGGCCGCAAAGCAGCCGGCATAGATGAGCGGCCCCCAGAGCGACATCAGTTGCATCATCTCGTAGGAGTTGAAGAGACCCCAGGTGCAGCTGCCGTCGTGCATGCAGGGCAGCTCCGAGGGCACAATGCTGCCATTGACCAGGTCCTGGGGAAAGCCGGAGGCATCGCGCACTGCCGCGCCGCCCGCGAACAGCACAAACAATGCATAGGATGTCATGGAAATGAGTAGGGCCCAGAATGTGCCCTTCGGTATGGCAGCGCCAGCATCCTTGAGGTCGCCGCAGATGTTGGCGCCCGCCTGGATGCCCGTCACGCTCGGAAAGAAGATGGCAAACACGCTGAAGAAGTCGTGGTTAACGCCCTCGGCGTAGCGATAGTCCGAGACAAAGTTCTCCTTAAAGGTGGACCCTGTTAAATGATTCAATTGAGACACAGCGCTAGCAGCGAGTCCTTGCGGAGCTCATCCCATTTCAACTTACAGGAGAAGCCCACAAATCCCTTGGATATAAGCGTTTCGTCGTCGCGCGGTCCGATCGCAGCGCCAATCAGGAAATTAAATATGGCCAGGACGATGGTGACGATGAGGAAATTCTGCGCCTTGGTCTCCCATTCCATGCCCACGCAGCAGATCAGGATCAAGACCAGGACCGTAATGGAGCCTACAATGCGAATATCGTTGATGCCGTTGTCCACGATAATTAGCCCGTTGTTCTCTGCAATAATTAAGGCATGTTCAAATGCATTCATTACGGTGGGACGGGAGGAGTCAAGCTACTCACTCAGCAGCACATTTAGCGATTCGCAGAAACCAATTGTGTTCATTGAGGCGGAGACCGCGTTGGCGAACGCAAAAACAACTCCGACGGAGGCGCCAAATTCCGGGCCCAGCGAGCGGGATATAATGAAATAGACGCCGCCACCCTTCACCTCCCCGTTCGTACTAATGGCCGACAACGAGAGCGTGGTTATGACGCAGACCACCGTCGAGATGGCGATTATAATTAACGACCACATAATGCCGGACTCGGCGACCACCCAGCTGAGGCGCAGGAAGAGCATAACGCCCCAAATGTTGAGCAGGCATGGTATGAGCACGCCGACAATCCATCCCAGCTTGATGTTACCACCAGTTGGTTCCGGCTCCGCAGCATCTGGTATCGTGATGCTCTACGGATGATGAAACAGAACAATGGAAAATAGCTTGTTAAGCAATACGTTATGATTATTGTGTATTGTATCTGATCTTTAAAATTTAAACAATTTAATATGATTTATTATATACATTTATTAATTTTAAGTTGCAATTGCTTTTCTGTTTCAATTCAAGTGTGGCTGAAGCTGGATAGGTTTTAGCAAGAGTGAAAAGTGAAGTGTTAAAAACTTGGACCTGGTAAGGCCGGGTAATACCCACTGGGTACGCTCCCTTATGTCAAACACAGACCTAGTTCACTTTATGTTTTTTTGACTTCACCGCTGAGCTGCACATTTATCTGTATTTTTCAACATTGCCTTACTATGCGATTCTCATGAATTTTATGCTTTGATTTATATTTAACAAGTTTTGCTGATAACAATTATTGTTGCTCTGAGTCGCACTCTACTTAACACTCTGGCTCTTACTTTGTTTATTTCTCTCTTTGAAATTTCATTTTTAGATTTATAAATCAATTTACAGTTAGATCAAAAGAATTTATCTAGAAATTAAAAGAATATAGCAGTACGAATTTTCCCTTTTGCTCTTTATTAAATAAGTATATCGTATATCTATATCTAGGTCTAAATTTAAATACCTGAGTACAGGGTATTTGCGCACTTGATGAATTTATTGTACCATTTTTCAATTAACACCAAGTCAAGTTGCATGTAAATGGAACTCGTGTAGATTTTATAGCTATGCTAAAAATCGTGTGTTACCAAAGCGGCATCTGAATTAAAGTCAATAAAATTCCTGTGAATTTCTGATTGCCATATGGAAATTAATATACATTAAAATTTGTGCTAATTGAATTGTTTGTCGAGCTAAAAGAGTAATCAGCCGTTATGAGTATCTATTTAGGTGGAGAAAGTACTCTGAGTATCTATTTAAAAGAAGTGCGGCTGGATACGAATATTCAAATACTCATATCAAATATTCAAAGTATTCATAAGGTTTTTAACTCTTTTTGCACAAATTATGTGTTTTATGAAATGGAAAAGAATTCTTAGAAACTCGATTTCTGGTACAAGAAAATGAAAAACTGTCTTTACTTTTTTGTAAATTAATATCTGTGATATCATTTGATTGTAGAGAGAAATGAAGTTATTGCGACTTTTCAAATAGAAAACAAAAAATCGGACAAGTGAAATGACAAATTTGTTGGCCGAGTCCATTTACAATGGTGACAAATTAATACATTTTGGTCGACATATTTCGCAGTACAGCGAGCTGTGCCTGACAGACAGCAGATCATCTATTTTATTGTTTGCCAACATAATTGAATGTTTTTAAAATGTGACTCGGCACTCTGGAGGACTGACTGGCAGGACACGCCGCGGCATTGTGTGACAGCGTTGGACAACGTACACACCCCTTCGGAGCAGTCCCGAGCAGTTGGTTACTGACTCAGCCTGGAGCTGAGTAGAGCCCGGCACGGCTCCTGGCCCTAGACTGGCCCCATGGGTGGTCAATGTTGATTGTTTACACATTTTTGGCGGCGCTCAGCGGCGGGGCAGCTAGACAGATACACACACGCACACGTACACACACTCAAGCACACTTAAACACACCCACAGGGAGCTAGCCCCGACAACCAGCTGGACATCCATATTACATGGACAGACAGACAGACAGACAGGGAGACTGGCAACTGGCTTGTTTGTATGCTCGCTGGCCGGGCCAATTTAATTTAGTTTAGTTAAAGGCGCATTTCGTTTGCCACTTGCCCAAGCGTGGAAATTTGTTTTTCCTTTTCGTTTTTCTTCTTTTTGTTTTTGCACACAAGCCATGCGTACACGGAATCGGAATTGGAATTGCAATTGGAATTTGAATTGCGCCATGCGGGATAGATATATAAATATGTATATGGAATAAGTCTGAAGTGGCAGCCATTCGACAGCTGATTGAGAGCGGGAAATTTATAGACAAAAAAGAGGATACATATCAGTTAAGGGCCGATATCAGAAATGCCTTAAGACAACTTACAGCTAGTTATTATATTTAAATTAAAATTATTTACGGCTCTACGTTAAGTAATAAGTGAGTATTTGAAGTGGCAAACAACATTAGAAAGAAAAGAATGGTTCCACCTGGAATGGTGGATTTACTGAAGGAGTGAATTTCGATTTGATTCTGATTTACTGATTTACCTTAAGAAAAGTGAAATATTTTGCATCTGTGTATATTATACACAGAGTCTGCATATTAAATTTAGCTTAACCTTCAAAATTGTCAATTCAAATTACAAATCTCTGTCTTCTTTCTATAAAGATAGACGGATATGACTAGAACTAGATACACAAACTCTTGATAACCCTGTTACACATGGTCTTATTAAGCTACATCCTAGGATAATTAGCAGTTTCTTACAAACTCGTCTTATCTGATGTCAGCTCCTCCACGAAACTCTGAGTTATAGCGGGAGTCCTTGTTTTTCATATTTGCCAACTGTGCTTAACCTAGAGCTCGAGACCTTAGGGGCCTTAGACCTTTGTGGCGTTAGAAGTGTGCCTATTAGAATCTATGTGAATGACGAGAACAATGAAAATATTGTTGTTTTGCATGGTTAAACGATTCGAGAAATGCGCTAAATAAACAGCAGCAGCGGCGAATTCGCATAAAAGAATCGATAAATGTTGTATAAATAGCAAAGACTCTTTTGAAATGAATTGCAAATTAGAATTGTAAATTGTACAATGCCCGGCATGTGCAGCAGGGGGGGGGGGGGGGGGGGGGGCGCAACTCAAATGAAAAATAGAAAAATACAAAATGGAAAATGGAAAATGTCGGTCGCACGAGTCGATCCAAATGCGCCAAAGGCGCTGTCGATGATGTAAACACAACTGCCAAATAATGCTCATACGCAGCGTGGTACCAGCCGAAACTATTCTCGAACATTTACCGAAGCACTCGAAATGTATATTCCAATTGCTTGTGCCATTGTATCTGATAGGTTTTATACCATTCGTAGGGTCTATTGTACAGTCAAGTTCTGCTGTGCCAAGTTCTGCTTTGTCAAGTTCTGAATCCTGGCGCATTTGTTATTTATGATTCTCGTCAAATCATTCTAATTTACAGCTTCTCAGATTTTGGTATTAACTAAGAGCCGCTAAACTGTTTATTAAGCAACTGTTGGCTAGGGCATACTTATTAACATCGATAGCGTCGATTGATAACGTCATAGGATAAACCCAAATGATGACAAATTGTGTCCACTTGAGAGCTGTAAAAGTGTTATTAAAAATGTGTCAAAAAGTGCTTTGAACTGTTATGATTATTTTTAATTTATATTTTGTTTTTTTTTTTTTCATTTAATTTTTGGCACTTTTCTAGTGGTCTGGCGCGTTTTTTAATTCATTGAAAGTTGTGTGTAAACAATTTTTCAAGTGAATGCTTATCGAGCTGACAAACTGTCAGCATTTTAGACGTGCTACACACACGCACACACACACGCATTGAATAGTGTGCGTACATGTGGGGTGTGGGGTGTGGGGTGTTTGTTGAGTTTGACGAGCAGCAGCTTTAACACTCTTCTTATTGGTCGCATTAGAACGTTATGCGCTAACAATCGATCGATGGCAACGACAGCGCCATCTGTCGGCTGCTGCTGCTGTCAATTTTAATGATACGCCCTGTGCATTTGTGAGACTTGTCCGCGCGTGTGTTGACCGACTCGTGCGTTGCGTTCTAATTGTTGTTATTGCACTGCTCCTTGTTGTTATCAAGCGTGCGGGGGTTAACGCTGCGGTATAGATGGAACAATATCCTTGTGGCCCTGCATGGCTCCAGTCATTGTGTTGACAATTAATTTGGCTTCAAGGCTCTTATTGGTGTCATCTTTCAAGACGCTTGTTGAAGTGTGAGGAGGGGGGGGGGGGGGGGCGGTGGGTTCGCTGCACAGTATACTGAGTACATGAATATCTACTTAAGGCTTTATATTGCCTGTCTAGATTCATAAAACATTCATATTAACACCTTGATTACGATTCAGGAGCTTTTTCCCTTCTTCAACAATTTATATTGAGTTGTAAAATAATTGTGGTTCATCTTTTTAGTTATAGGTAAAATTGAGTTTAATATAAAAATGAACTGATAATGACTGTGTTTTGCTTAAAGATCTCACTAAATTTTGTATCTAAAGTCAATTTTTTGCATAGAACTGTAATGGATATATCTTGGCAATGGGTCGAATCTTGTTTGAAAAAACTTAACTTAACTTAATAATATTGCAAAAAGATGAGAGTTACTTTACAATCGTCTAGCTATGCTTAATATAACTGTCTACAATATTAATCTCTGGCTGCTCTAATGAAAGATTTAGTTTCAATTTAGTTGATATGCTTTTGCTGAAAGGAATCAGCTTTTCAGGCACATTCTTAAATTATTCTTTATCTGCGGCAATTCAATTGAATAGGTTTTTGATATAAATCTTTCGTAGATTTTATTAACAGAGAGAGAGTGTGACCGTAGTACTATTTTTTATCATTAGTGCATTTTTTTCAAGCATCTGGCAACTCGATTTTTAACAGACATCACAATTTCTGACAGTTTGAAATCGAAAAAATTGTAAATGTTTCAAGCTGTTGCCGATGCAAGCAGAGTTATTGATTTAATGATGGATACATCAACCTTAATACCTTTTGCAAGAGTATTTAATGGTTTTCCTTTGGCGAATGGCATTCGTTAGGCTCAAATAGATTTCCAATCAAGTTGATCCCATTAACTGTTCATTATTTATCAGCATCTGCTATTCGGACATGTGTTAGTTCTATAATGCTTTGCTAGTCTCACTTAAATTCGTTATCTGCCGTAATAACTACTATTGCAGCTTGTCTGGGACACAGACTTTAAGGCACGCTGCCAATTATAGTTTATGTGACGATTTCATTGGTATTCCCTTAATGAGTGCGCGGCGCTGTAATGCAATTTTTATGATATCTATTATACGCCGCGTTGACGCTGTCCCACTAAGCGCCACAGTAGCCCGTAGTGGACCGAGCAGCGAATTAATTAAACAATATGCGAGAAATGTGTAATACACAAGCCGCAATAGCCGCATAAAGTTTACGGCTTTGGCTGCGATAAGCATAAAAACTAGAACTCTGACTAAGTAGCCGGAGGGTCTTCGAGCTACTCAGCTACTCTTAATTGAATGATAAGGCGTTCCAGGGCGAGGGTGTGCCCTTGGCAAAGGTGTACACGCAAAATACTCGACGTAGATAGCGTTGAACGAGCCGTAACGTCATCATTGTGAATTGTTTACACGCACAAATCTGTTGGCCCCTAGATAAGTGCAAGAAATAACATTGCGTATACGTCATGGAGAGCACATTGAAAATGAGAAATGTGAAAATTGTTCAAGTAAATAAATAAAGCAATCGTCTTAATAAATAATGTACATACACTTATAAAATACGCCGACTAAATACCCAACATATTTTGAACTGGCCTAAAGGGTATTTCCAAGCCATGCACAGGATGTCCTCTTCCACGATAAGAAATTGATGTAAATCAATGATTAGATCGATGGAAATTTTAATATATCAATGAATATATTTGTAAATATTTTGTATGCTTGTCAGTACCTGTGTACAGGGTATCAGCTAGTTCAGCACTCTCGCTTAGTGCACTTTTACTTGTTTGTACATAATATATGCTCAGCTGCCAGCATACGAATATGGAAAGCAACACAATTTTGATTTTTGATTTCTTGCCGAATTTAGTTTGGGCTTCTACCAAGTATATATTCGTGTGTATATTATGATTTGCTTTGTTTATTGGTTGGGCACTTGAAATGTTTTTGAATACACATAAACAGATGCAGATGGCGATGGAAATGGACAGCACAGATTATGGCACGGCACTAAAGGGCTTAGAGTGTTCGGTAAAACAGCATGAGTTTCATTTCAAAAAGCAAACCTCGCATCGACTCATTGCTGTATATTACAATAATATTATTCAAGCAAAACGAATTGTTGTAGGAATGTTGATGCATGTAGCACATGCTCATTAAAAATACTCACGATACACTTGAACATTTTAAACCATAATGCATATAGCTAATCATATTAGTAGCCGGTATATATTGTGAATTATATGTAAACTATTTCTTCTAATGTCCTGCTTCTTATGTAAAAAGTTAGCTGATTATATAATTTATATAGTTGACACATTTGTTATTAAAAACAGTTGGAAAAAGGGTGGAAATTGGTGAAAAAAGCTATACAAATATCTAGTCAACATTATACTCATAAAAGGAGTATATGTATATATTTATTAATAATAATATGTATAACAATAATAAATAATAATAACAATAGTAATGATAATGACAAAATAATGATAATAATAATAATAATAATAATAATGAAAATTATAAAAATAATGATAATGATAATAAAATAAAAATAATAATAATAATAATAGTAATAATAATTATAATAATAATAATAATAATAATAATAATAATAATAATAATATTTTATAATGATAATAATAATAATAACAATAATCACAATAATAATAATAATAATAATAATAATAATAATAAATATAAATATAATAATAATAATATTAATAATGATAATGATAATGATAATGATGATGATAATTCGGCAATGTAAGGGAAGTCTGATAATAGGAGGGGCTTCCTAAATATCCTGATGAAGAAGAGCCGTACTCTTGCCGAAGAAACCACACTTTCACACTTTCAATGCAATAATAAATTCACTCATGTGAGCGGATTTTGCGTAAACAGATGAAAATTGAATGCTTGTTTTCAATTACAATTCCAATTGTCAGCACTTTGAGTAAACGGAGTCAAGACTTACCTGATCTGCTGCCTCGCCCTGAAGTTCGCCAATTGAGGGTCGTTTCAAGTTTCGCATAGAGATGCGATAGTTATCCAAGCGCGGCAGCGATTCCCTGTAAAGGAAGTACAATATCCGATTAGTATTGTTTGCGCAATGGAAGAGCTAAGGATTTTCATACTGATGAAACGGCATTAGGACTAACATCGCCTCGGGCAGCATGAATGTAGCCCGCAGCTAGCGAGGCACAAAGACCAACTAGAGTGCCGCAAAAAACATGCTCGATGGAAATGCAAAAAAACAACAATAAAATACAAAATTGAAAAACAAAAATAATAATAATAAAACACGCAGAATTGAGAAAAACGATTGGTCAAGGTGCCCAAGGGGAAGGCCAAGTTGGGGCAGGGAGCAAACACTCATAAGTTGATGAAAAATCGCCCTTGCTTTTATACTATTTCTTTTTTTTTTTGTTGCACTGCTTGTTGATCTGTTTCTGTCTGGTTCGCCCACTGAGACGTGCAGGCTCTTTGCATGTTGTATTATTATTTCTATTCGATTATGTATATTTACTGATTGGAAATGAAAACAGAAACAGCAATTCCACAGCCAAAGATAGCTTGATACAAGAAACTAAGAATATCTTCGACACGCCGAAGATTTAATACACTTGTAGACATTTACCTTAAGAACAGAGTATTTTACCACATAAGATCCCACTATTCCACCGATTTTTCCTACATCAGCTATATGATATCGGGATCCGATATTGATAAGATTTGGCATATATATGAGGATAGTAATGAAAGTGAAGTTATCTTAGTATAAAAAAATGGTTTCCATTGCAGAACCAACTTTAGAACTGATCGTTTCTACCACAGCTATATGATATAGTGGCTCGCTCCGGCTAGTTCCAGTTCAAAAAGATAGCTTTAAAACTGGGAGCCTGAGAGACGGACAGATGGACATGGCTATATCAAATCGTCTGTTTATGCTAATCAGGAATATATATATACTTTATGGCGTCGGAGGCGTCTGCTCCTCTGCGTTACACATTTCATGGCGAATTCTAATACTCTCCTCAAGAGTATAAAAAAGGCAAAAAATGCATTGAAAGCCGAAAAACAGAAATTGGGATCGCCAGATCGGCCTGTGGCAGCCCTCAAGGACGTACGGAGGGCGAATCATAACAAATAAGCGCATAGAATTATTTATAATTTTATTATTTAATTATATGTTTGTAATTCTATATGGCGATATTTTTAGTTAATCCTGTTTCTCAGTTTTTTCTTATTTATTTATTTTTTTTATATTTTATTTTAGTCTTATTAAAAGATATCAAATAAATAATAATGCAGCTGATTCTACAGAAAAGTCTTAAACAAGAGCATAAACATAAATAAGTTGATTATAAAAGAGAGATTAATTGGCTGAAGACCTTCAATTCTACGTGTCTTTTAAAGATGCCCAGCAATGATTCTCAAAATGTTTTTTTTTCTTGTCATTTTTGTCACAGAGAATATAATTTTTATGTTGCATACTTTTTGCATAAAAGTCTGAAATTCTATTTCAGTTGGTAAATTTTAGATAAATCAAAGATTCCTTATAGGAAACGCTTAAATGGCTGTGACTTATGTCTGAAAGTGAATCAAACTAGTGTTGAACAATTTCGGAAATAGGTAAATTTTGAGTGTCCAAACGAATTTTATATTCATTTCAAATCATCGACCTATCGACTCTTAATAAAAGTAAGTAAACGGCTTGCAACTTCGTGTCTTCAGGTTCGCTTTGTTACCAGGTTTTGGTTGAAACATTTTATTTTATAATTGCCCGCTCTTCTGTAAATATGGCATGTGGTACATATTTTCATATAGACCTTACGGGCTAAATTTGATTATTACCCAAAATTGGCATCTATCTAGTATGCTTGGATATATCCAATTGTATGGGCCCAATTTTCGTTGTTGTTTTTTTGTTTAAAGCCAAAATACCTTGAAAAAGATTCTGATTCGTTTGTAAACTTAGCTCAGCTGTTTTTTGAGTAAACTGGATTGGTTGAGGGTATGCTTAAATAATTTAAAAACTGAAAGCCTAAAAAAAATTAATAGAGTTCCAATAATAGTTTACTTTATAGAGTATAAAGCATAGATTGGAAATAAAATATGATAAATTAAAATAATATGAGACGGAAATTGAAAAATATAATAGAAACTTGTTTTAAGGCTGGCTGTCTAACACGAAAATCTTACTTTTTATATTTTCAATATTTCTTGGCAATATTCAGTTTAAGTTTTGCAGTTTTAAAGTTTTAAACGCCTTCGTTGTATTCCACTTTCTTTCGGAATAAAAAAAAGCCTTAATTCTTTTATACATTCACGTATTTATTTTGAAAGTTTCTTTAAGAAAACATAGTTAAACAAATAAGAGGTTCTAGTCGGGAGCTCCCGACTAGGGGATACCCTGAACCCTCTTCCCAACCCAACATCAAATGGATATACTTATATATTCTATTTTAGAAGCTATATGTTAGGTTTGGTGACCCTAGCTCTTATTATTTACCAAAATTGCCCAAAAAACAGGATATCGATATCGATTTTTATCGATTGCTTGGAAACGGAGTAAGTTATCGATTATCGAAAACAAACTCGATCTGCGCAGGAACTAGGAGCACCTACACTTCAAGTCTCTAGCTCCTTGCGTTCATACATACGGACAGAAGGACAGACGGACGGACGGACAGACAGACGGACAGACAGACGGACATGGCTAGATCGACTCGGCTATTGATGCTGATCAAGAATATATATACTTTATGGGGTCGGAGATGCTTCCTTCTGCCTGTTACATACATTTGCATTTTGCACAAATACAATATACCCTTATACCCATTTTTAATGGGTTCAGGGTATAAATAGCTCATGAGATGCGTTTTACGGCTGTGCATGTAAGAAAGATTCGAATGGGAGAATGATATGAAAGAAATAAAAACACTAACGAGGGCTGTAATTCGAAAAAGTTAAGACAATATTCTTTGGTTATTCATTTGATTTCTTAATGTTCAATTCAGCTGGCAGACAGCGACAGCGACAGAGGCAGCGACAGAGGCGCCTTCTCGCATCCAAAAGATACAATATAAACAATTCCTATTGCATTTTGTGTGTGCGTGTGTGTGTGTGTGTATTTGTGGGTATTGATCTATTGGTTGTGCGGCGGTTTCGTTGAGATTTAGCTAGTATAATTTAGTTGTACAATTGAAGAGGAATTGTGCAGGCCCAGCGCCAGACACAACTCAGTCCCAGCTCAGTTCCCATCCCTCCCTGATGCCCGCTGTCTGTCCGATCAATTGAGTTCGTTTAGGAGCCGATGTCTACGGCTCGGGCATGATATCACACACAGCTCTTGGTATCTGCCAATGACTAATTTGTTGTTGTCACACAGAAGTCATCAGAGCTGCTGCCAAACTGAATCAAAACAAACGCATCTCGCTGAGAGTTATTTGTGTGTGTGGTACAAATTGCTTGGATTTTTCCAATTAAATATGAATGCAAGGTGTCGACGTTTTAATCGGGCACAAAAACAACAATAAAGTGCTCGACTTTGAAAACTAGTTGCCATTTGAGTTTCCCAGTTTCACAGTTTCACAGTTTCACAGTTTCACAGTTTCTCAGTTTTATATTGCTTTGCAACTGGACGCTGATGCAACTTGTTTGCCCTGTTCGCAAAGTTTTCAAAATCGAATTTACGTCCACATTTCAATTTACAAAATTTGAACGGCTTCTTGGTAATTGAATTCTATTTTGTCAGTTTTCTCATATTTTGTTCTTGCGAAAGCACACGACTTGCATCAATAGGAAACCAACTGAAATTTGTGCTAATTTCTGTTGATTTGATTAATGTCATCTTGAGCCGCGGCTCGAAATGCTGACCTTATGACCTGTCTTGTGCTTACATTAACATTCTTGCGTGCACTCTGAACCCATTCAAAAACTTGTTAAAGGGTGTATGCTCAAATTTAAGGCAGCAGATGGCATCTTCGACTGCATAAAATATATGGGTATTCTTGAACAGGAGGATGAGCTGAGGTTGAGCTGAGTTTGTCTTGTTTAAATTTGCATTCTTGTATATCATATGGAGAATACAAATGCAAATTCGATATTTCTACCATTTTCACAATATCGATAAATATCGATTTGAGCCTCAGTTCGAAGATTGGAAGAGTTGAATACACATGACTCGTAGGCTTTCGAATAGTACACACAGATTGAGAGTGAATCACTTTCTGAATGTCTCCTCTCGTTCCCCCTCAAAATTGACATAAGATCATTTCTAAAGTTAAAGCCTAGAGCTTTGGCTAGAGGGTATCTCCTCGTCGGTCACGCCCAACAAGAGCACTCTAGCCACACTTCAAATATAAATCGGCTCATTTAAAGTTAACCTTTTTAATATATTTCCATAGAAATCTTATATGCGATCGCTGCCGAGTTGCTCACCTCTAGAAGCCTAAAGAAAACCTGAATTAATTTTGTTTATTCTCACATCTATCTAACGTATAACCTATAATTTAGATAGTCGAGCTCATGTCTCTGCCAAACTCTCAACAATTTCCAAGCCCATTAAAGCAACAATTTAATAATGTTGCCTTTCTTATCGACAATGTTTTGCCAACCCATCCCAGACCATTTCCCATATCCATATCACGTGTTTCCTACTATATAAGGCCAACTTCTGCCGATTTTTACACTCTGATATGCGATTTTCAATTTACAGGTCGTCTCTTCTTCTAAAGAAAAACAAAAAACAATTGGAGTTTTTGTTTCGAGTACGTGATTATAATAATAAAAAAAAAAAAAAAGGTCAAGTAACCTTGATTTTAGTTTTACAAATAAAAACATTCATGCCTTTTTCTCACTGTTACTTTATTTATTTGTTTGATTTCGCATTTTTTTTTTTTTGGCAACATTTTGCACTCAGTTAACAATTTACGCTTCGTTTGAATGCATTTTTGCGCTCTCTTTGTCGCCTTGTATTTGTTATACCCTTCCAGAGGGTATTATAATTTTGTCGTGAAATGTGTAACGCATAGAAGGAGACATCTCCGACCCCATAAAGTATATATATTCCTGATCAGTATCAACAGCCGAGTCGATATATGTCCGCCTGTCTGTCTGTCTGTTTCGATGCGAACTAGTCTCTCAGTTTTAAGGCTATTGTTATGAAACTTTGCAGAAATGCCTCTTTCTGTTGCAAGCAGTACATCGGAACCAGCTGGATCGGACTACTATATCATATAGCTGCTATAGGAATGATCGGTCGAAAAGTAGCTTCTTGTATGAAAAACTTTTTTGTTTATCAAGATATCTTAAACTCGGCATTTTTACTTTTACTATGCGTCTCATATATATCCAAAATTCCGTCAATATCGGACCACTATATCATATAGCTGCCATAGAAACGCTCAGTCGAAAACTAGGTTTTTGATTAAGAACCTTTATTAACTATTTTCCCTGCGCTTCTTAGATACGGGCAAAGCACTATAAGCATTATGAAAAGCTTGGGTCTGCAAGGGTATTAGATGTTCGGCGTGCCAAAGATAGCCTTTCTTTCACGTTTAAATTTAAATATTTTATATTCAGACTTCAGGTTTAAGGGCAACATTAAACGAAATATAACCCTGGCATGCAAATCGTATTTATATAAATTATAGAAACACATAGAAAACTATAATAAATAAATTAAAAAAAAAAAAAGAGACAATTAATATTTAAATATACTAATCGACTTTCGCATGATTTAGCTCAACTGAATCGCACTCAATGAAATTGATTAAATTCTTGGCAATAAAAATCTATGCAAATAAATAAAATTTAATCATTTTATGTTTATCAAGCTATAATACCATATACTTATAATCGTATCGTAGATACCAGGGCTTCAATTTATGGCTTATACGAAAGTTCAACTTGCCGAATCATCACAAAGATTATCAACAAGTTTTTGGCTTAACAATATTTGAAGATGTGGAAATTTTATTTCCATTTCCATTCGTGAGATTCGAATAAAAAAACAACAGACTTCCTTTTCGGCTTAAGCAAAAACAGTAAAAAACATTTTCCCCTTTATGCAAATGCAGTTCAATTAAGAGAAATAGAAACAATTGCAAAATAAATTTGAGCAAAAATCGTTTATTGTTTCTAAGTGCTCCAAAGTGTTTTTGTATACGCAAAAAAAAAAACAAGTAAGAGGTTCCAGTCGAGAGCTCCCGACTAGGGGATACCCTGAACCCTCTTCCCAACCCAACATCAAATGGATATATATATTCTATTTTAGAAGCTATGTGTCAAGTTTGGTGACTCTAGCTCTTATTATTTACCGAAATAGCTCAAAAAACAGGATATCGATATCGATTTTTATCGATTGTTTGGAAACTGAGTAAGTTATCGATTATCGAAAACAAACTCGATCTGCGCAGGCACTAGGAGCACCTACATCTAAAATTTCTCTAGTTCTTGTAGGTTCTGAGATCCATGCTTTTATACATACGGACGGACGGCCAGACAGACAAACAGACAGGCGGACATGGCTAGATCGACTCGGCTATTGATGCTGATCAAGAATATATATACTTTATGGGGTCGGAGATACTTCCTTCTGCCTGTTACATACATTTGCATTTTGCACAAATACAATATACCCTTATACCCATTTTTAATGGGTTCAGGGTATAAAAAACACTCTGATATTTCTGGGCATTAAAATTGACACGGGGCATTAAACCGTTCGGAGATTTGAAAACATTTTTCAAGCATTACAAATGGCAAATGCATGACTTGAACTAAAATAATGCAAAATATTTCGATGCGCTTTTTCATAATTAGTAAATGGATATTCTGTGGCACTCACTTGGTTAGCTGCGCCAGGCTGAACTTGCGCTCGGCGTCGGATTTGCGCAGGAATTGGCCAAAGCCGCGAAAGGACAGGCGCGAGGTGCGACGATTCTCGCCGCCCTCTGCTGCTTTGGGCTGCAGATGATTGTCGTGGGCGTGGCCGCCGTCTGCAACAATTGTGGCGGGACCATTTGGGGGGTGCTCCGCAGAGGCTGCATTGTTGTTGGCGCAACCGGGTTCCGCGTCGAAGGCGGCATTGACATTGGCACTGCCATTAACCTTTGAGATCTGAAAGCGATCTGCCATTTTTATGGATGTTGTTGTTGTTGTTGCTGGTGAATCAACTGAACTTTTTTGGGGTTTTTTATTTGTATTTTTTTGTGGGTTCAACACTTGTTATGTGCAACTTTTTATCGCGTTAAAATAAATGATTGATGTTGTTCAGCGCGCACATTTGCATTGCACTTAGGGGCCCAGCAGGACCTTTGAGTGAAGAGTGTGCCCAGCTTTGAGTTTGCGGCACGGCGTTATCTGTTATCGTATATTTCGTATAAACGAAGCCGGACGGAGCGTCAATGACGTGCACACGACGAAGTTTCAGCAACGTTTAACAGCCAATGCGAAATGCTGGCATATATTTAACGCTTAGCATTCCAACTACTAAATCTTGTTACGCATAGGGGAAGTACGACGTTAACGAAACGCTTGACGTTATTTAGCTTTAACAAAATGCTGTACGCGCCGTTTACAGCTTACAACTTAACGCGCTGGCTGTCGCACGTCGTTTGAGCGTTGTCAAGTGTTTGCCGCTGGATTATTATGGCATTTCGATTATGGACACCATTCTGACTGTTTGCTGCTGCGGCTTTCGCTTGATTAACGCCACCAATCAAATACGTATAGCGTAAGAATAACGCGCAGTGCGCGTGTGTGCGAACGTGCGAGAGTGAGTGTGGTGAGTTTTCAACAAGTGTTTGTTTGCTTGCTGCCTGCTCATTTTCAACACACACGCGCACCCACACAAACGCACAGGCCTGCATATGTGGAAAATAGTAACAGTGGCGTTGCCGCTCTCTCTCTGTTAAGAGCATGCAACAACAGCTAGCAGCCGCAGCGTGTTAATCTCACAGCGAATAAAAGTAAAGTCCTTTAAAACCAACAATACAGTATGTAATTTACATTAACAGCAACCGTCATGTAGTGTGACCAGCATTTGTCTTTCTAGCATATATGTATATTCACACGCTTGCATGCTAGGACCTGCTGGCCGTTGGTATTTTTGTGGTATTTTCGGCGCAATGTTAACAGTGCTAATTGTAACGCCATTTTGTTAATTTAACACTGACGCCTCTCGAATTTGGTTCTCTGTGCATAATTTATTGCGGTTTATTAAGAATTTCCTCTTTGAGGTGCTTAAGGCTGCTATTAGCTCGTTTCTTTTGTTTACTTAATTCGTAACAATGTGACGCGAATCGCACTAACACTATCGCACACACACCAGCTCATAACATCTTTACTACCCAGACTGCAACAACAACAGCAACAACAACCACAACCTGGCCAAAGAGCGTAGCGAAAACCCCTTTAATCGAATTAAAATCGGTTTTATCTGGTTTGATTGGCTGGCTCGCTGACTGGCTGACTTGTTGCCAGCAGAGCCAAAAAGCAGTTACACTTCAAACAAAACCAGCAAAGAGTTGCTGCTGCTGCTGCTGCTTAATTATATCAGAGTCACTCTTCGCTCATGTTTCCGACCACCGATCGGAACCGACTAAAGCCACAACCGACTGTGCGTCGAAAGACGTTGACATGCTTAAAATTATTGCTGCTGTACTATAGCAGCTTCTGGCCGAAACTGTTGGCCACAACTCTCTTTGCAGTTGCAGTACGTGCTGTACAACTGGGCTTCTGTTTATACCCTGAACCCATTTAAAATGGGTATAAGGGTATATTGTATTTGTGCAAAATCCAAAGGTATGTAAGAGGCAGAAGGAAGCATCTCCGACCCCATAAAGTATATATATTCTTGATCAGCATCAATAGCCGAGTCGATCTAGCCATGTCCGCCTGTCTGTTTGTCTGTCTGGCCGTCCGTCCGTATGTATAAAAGCATGGATCTCAGAACCTACAAGAACTAGAGAAATTTTAGATGTAGGTGCTCCTAGTGCCTGCGCAGATCGAGTTTGTTTTCGATAATCGATAACTTACTCAGTTTCCAAGCAATCGATAAAAATCGATATCGATATCCTGTTTTTTGAGCAATTTCGGTAAATAATAAGAGCTAGAGTCACCAAACCTGACATATTGCTTTTAAAATAGAATATATATATATGCATTTGATGTTGGATGAAGAGGGTTCAGGGTATCCCCTAGACGGCAGCTCCCGACTAAAACCTCTTACTTGTTTGTATTGCAATATTTCAACGTCATTTAAGGCTAATTTTCCCACAGTTTCATACATAAACAAGTTGTCAACCCTTTTGTGAAATGAGTCCCACAACTAGTTTTAATAATGCAATTTAGAATTCGTGTTTGGTTTTGCATTACTCGAACACGTCAGGTTAACGAACCTGAAATGTACTTAGCTCAAAACTTTTACACGGACAGATCTTATCGTAACACGAATGTTTGGTTATTTCTGTGCAGATTTGCAGAGAATTGGCGTATCTTATCTTTGGTTTTGCCTGCACGTTCTGGAGTAGTAGACTAATCCAAATGCAGTTCAAGTTGTCCATGGATTGCTCATACGCACTGTAGAACGCACTTAATTATCTACACTGTAGCCGTACTAAAGAGCTTAAAGTGTATTAAAGGTTTCGGCGAATAGACTTTCGTTTCGCATTGACATCTAAAAACATGATTATTTCGTGTTTCATTATCAAAGCCAGCTTTTCGCAAATGCCTGTTGCTATGCTCATGTAATAACTAGTTGCTGCAGATACATCAAACTACAGCAAAAATTGTTAATTATATCCACGTTTTGATCAGCATTAGGTTTGAACATTTTCGTTGCCTTTATGGTTGTTTTGGTTAACTATTCTTTAAGTGCAATAATTGCATTTACAATGCATTTACCTAACAATGGAATATAAGCCCAATAACACTAAAATCGAGAGTCCTAAATTTTTATGAATATAATAATGAGTTTATATTTTTATATATATGGGTAAATAGGTGTGTGTGTGTGTGTGTGTGTACATTTACGACGTATTTCTCACACTCAGTTGGCTTTCGTATTTGGACAATTTCCCATGCTAATTATTAATAGTTTACACATTGTTTATAATTTTCATTCGATTTAAATTTCTTCCTATGCATTCGACTTGAGACGCCATAAAAACTAATATTCCCAAATTTATTGCATAGTTTAGTAAACTCGTATGTTTTCAATGGCCATATGTAATTTAGGCTCTATATATATAGCTAAATACCATATGTATATATGATTCTAGACGCCAGGCGAGTGCCTTATGGTTTATTTTTGCTGCCATAATTCAATTGTTGGCCCCAATTCGCTCATCAGTTGTTAATCTGCCTCAATTTGTGGTTCTGACTGTGCAGATAGTCGAGTTCGAGAGGTTGTTCTCTTTCATTTTTGGCCTCAAAGATGACACGCGGAATATTCCTTTTCGCCTTCTTATTTGGTTGAAAGAAATAAACTTAATTTGTTTATGAGCGGCTAGCAATAAAACTTGAATTGCTGTATAATTGGAATTTTGCTTTGATTTTCAGTCACTTTTATACCCTGTAATCAATAAAAATTTACTCGACTCAGTATAACAAATACTGTAAAACGGACTGATAAGCAAATATTCAAGCCTTTTGGAAAGTTTTTCATTGTTTTGCTAATAACAGATTTGAATTTCTCGAAATATATTGAACTATTCATTTGCAAAAAGATATTTGTATTTATTTAGCCAACTTAATTGTATTTTGTTTGAAATCTAACTAAAAAATAATAACTAAATGTTGTTATTCCATATTTGATATACGAATGTCTAGTTGGTAATGTCAAAATCATTTCCGATTACAGGGTATCCTCCTGGTCGATCACTGTGATTTTCAGCATTATTGTTTTGTTTGTTTTTCATTTTATCAATATGTTATTTTTAAAGATACTAAATGTTGTTTTTCCATATCATTCCTGATTACAGGGTATCCCCCGTCGATCACTATGGATTTCAGCATTATTGTTTTGTTTGTTTTTCATTTTATCAATATGTTCTTTTTAAAGATACCAAATGTTGTTTTTCCATATAATGGCTAAATCATTCCTGATTACAGGGTATCCCCCGTCGATCACTATGGATTTCAGCATTATTGTTTTGTTTCTTTTTCATTTTATCAATATGTAGGTAAGCGTTTTATTATTGTTATGGCACTGTAAACATAAGTTTAATTGAGATACGCTTTCGTTTTAGATATATTTTCAAGGAAACTAATCAACGATTGAAATACACTATTGATTAACGGGATATTGCTTAAGGTCTTCATTAGCCGAAAATCCCTACAGGTGAAAATATCTCACAATCGTTCTTGGGATAGGTTCCAATCGATGGGCTTATCATACAAATTCTGAGAGATAACGTTTTCTGATAAGACTTGAATCTATTGCTGTTCACCTTCTATGGAAATCAAGGTAAGCGCAACCAATCCAAACCTGTTGCAAGCGGTTTAATTGACATTCAGTGATTAGCACCTTTTTACAGGCACGGGTCCGAAACACATTTAGACCCACGTGGGCGCTGTATCTACCTGGCCTAGGGACAAATTCGTCTAATAAATAGTGTAAACAATTCGTGAAACAGACAAATTGATTATTTTACAACGCAAATGAAATGCTCAACAGTTGTATTGTATTGTATAACAGCGTATAACAGTGTATAACAGTGTACAACTGCTAATTAATGGACCTGTAACAATACGAATATACCAATATCTACATATAGATATGAGTCGGACACTTGGAGACGATCTTGCAACATTAATGAAAGGGGAAAGGGGTTTGGTTTCGGCAATCAAATGCTTAAGAGTTGTATTGTATTGTATAACAGCGTATAACAGCGTATAACAGTGTACAACTGCTAATTAATGGACTTGTTACACTACGAATATACCAATATCTATATCTAGATATGCTTTGGACGACTTGGAGACAATCTTGCAACATTAATGAAAGGGGAAAGGGGTTTGGTTTCGGGGTCGCGTGCATCTATCAATTAGCTGCCTTTATTTTGGGCGAAAACGAAAACTTGATTATCAATTTAATGAACTGCTTTATACCACTTTAAAAAGGTTTTAATTTGGCGCCAGTCGATGCGTTATATCCGCCCAGATCGACAAGTATCTAGATACAATCGCTTCGACAATGCAGAACCTTTGTCTCCGATCGGGGACCCAAATGCGAATGCCTGACGTCAATTGGCTTGTGAATTAGATTCCTCTCCAATCAAGGGATGTTTATGCAGCCACTTAGGAGTCTGTCCAGATATCTGGCAGCCTGTTAAGTGGTTAGGCAAAGATTAGAACAGTTGAGTCTGCCAACGTTGCCTGGACTTCAATAATAATAATAACAATGCTGCCTGAAAGTGAAAATTGCCATTGGCACCTGACAATTTTCAACAGAGCAAGTCATTTTTTAACCAGAATCTTAGTCAATTATGCTCAGTTGGATAAGAAGGCAATTGCTTAGATTATTTATAAGTAATATATTTTTTTTTTAATTTGCTGCGCTGAACCCATTAAAAATGGGTGAGACAAAGGGAAGGAAACATAAAAATGTTTCCTGCGTAAAAAGTATATATATTCATAAAGTATATATATTCATGATAAGAAAGTCTCTTGTCATGTCATGTCCGTCCGACTTTCGGCCTGCATTAATGAAGACTTAGATTCCTAAAATTTCGCTTACATATTCTCCCAATGTCATAAGCCGAATGAGTTTTTCTTTTTATCAGTGTTTCTATTCATTTACAAAATATAGATAATATATTGGAACAACATTTTCATTTAGTATTTATGTACTTTTTTTATTTAAGACCTATTTAAGACCTGAAAATTGTACAGAGATCGGACTCTAAGCATCGATGTAAATCATGAGCGCATTTCCCAGGCCCAGGAAGGTGTGTTTATGTTAGTGTGTGTGTGTGTGTGTGTGTGTTTGTGCACGTATTTACTATAAGAAAGTTCAAATGTTATTAACACTCTTTTGTTTTAGGTATTCTGTAGTCTGTTTTGCATACATTTTGCAATCCTTTTCAATAATGTCTGTGATTGTATTTTATATATTTTATAACTATATATAAATTTTCTTTATTTGTTTAATACTAATTGTAAATTTTTTACATAACATATTTTTCATTTATGCATTGCCTACGTCACTCGGACATCCGGAGAGCACAGGGAAGTAATCAAAAATGAGCTAAGCACCATCTGAGTACTCGTAGGTACTCGTAAGTACTCGTAAGTGCTCGTGAGTACTCATAAGAATCCCAAATGCTAGGGGTATCCCAACTTTGGTTGTACTTTCCTAAGGGATTATTGAGCTTAGCTGCAGCTCAACTTCAAGTCTACAAAGTCTTAACAAGTTGCCATAATATCGAAAAGGATAAGTGTAAAATTTAAATAAAATTTTCTGCAAGTAATGTTGAAGTATTGAAATCAAATTCTTGAATCATGCTCAGCACTTGCTGCATACACGTTTGTTATATCATTTTCAGCTTTCAATTTGTCAATTGAGCTAACTAGTTGTATGCTGATCCATTCCCCACACAGTCACATTGCAATCTGGACCTGGGACTTGGCGCCTGGTATTTCTGCTGATTTCTGCGCTCAACTCAGTTAATTCATCTCACTTCAGTACTTTTTTTTTCAAGTTTTACTGTTTTTTTTTTTTCAGCTTTTTTCATTTTTATTTTATTTTTTTTGCATCATCGCCCAGTCATTAATAAGACTGATTCGAACCGCTTTGTTGCAGTTACAACTCGCTCAGCGCCGGCTCGTCTGGTCGGATCGTAATAGGCAGTTGCTCGGCTGTTCGCCTGGTTGGCTGTTCGCCTGGTTGGCTGTTCGCCTGGTTGCTGACGTTGCTTTTGTTGTTGTTGCTGTTGTTTTTGCTGACAATTGATAAACAAAATAAAAGCACATATTACAAAAAAAAAAAGAAAAAAGAAAAAAACTATTTAGAACCAAATGTTTAATTAGCCTAATTATATTAATTTAATATTTGTAGACATGTTATCTGTGGCTTCGGTTCCCAGTCCCAGTTGGTGCCCAGTGCTGGCAACTAAAAGCTGCAAATTATCTGATATTTAGGGGTAAATGAGATAAAGTTAAAACGGAACAAGAGTATGTTGTTTAATTAATCGAATATCTTGCTGTGCATCTTGGCAGGCTTTGCTAGCCTGGTTTTAAGGTTTGAACCAGCTTCCTGCCTTGAGCTGCGTTTCGAAAAATCTTCATATCTTTAATGAAATATTCGGACTTCTAATTTATATTTTTCCGTTCTATCAAATATGGTAAAAGAAATGTTATGAAACGTTAACTGTTTTAATTTGAACCATTTTTTGCGGCTCAATTCAAGTTTTGCTTTGTCTGTTTTTTTTGGCAACTGTTTGTTTTGATGGAAATGGACTACTAAAGAGCCTCGTCAAATCTCAATTTAGAAGTAGGATATTACCAGGTCGGTTAACATCGACTGCAACGTTTTCACTTATTCCCTGCTTTCCTCATTAACGCATCCATTCAGGTGAATTATGCATCTGCCTTGGCGGGCATCGAGTCTTTTATGGGACTTTCTCGAGACGCTGTTGAAGATCGTTGCTTTCTCTAAAGTTCAGGTTGTATATAAGACTCGGTAAAAGGGTCAGCTTGGACAGCTTAAAGGTCTCTTAATTATGCGTGGCATATTGAAGTTGTTGATAAGAATTTATGACTGGAGCTAGTTGTTTGCCTTGCCGACGAGTGTTTGCTCAATGTTGGTCTTAAAAGCTCAATGGGCTGGACTCTTGAGTTCCATTGTCTATGTCGATAAGCTGAAACTGAAATCTAGTAGAGACTGGGTCACAGGCAAGGCCGATCTGGAGTATTCTGTGGCTTTCAAATAGCAATCAATAGCAAATCAGTAATACTTTTAATACTGTTCAAACTGATATCATTTTATAACTTGTGTCTATAAACAAATGATTCAAATGATAACTGTAAAGTTAAGAATATATGTATATATAGTTACGTATACATGTGCAGATAAATAAAGTTTTGCACTAGAGTACGTATTTTTGGATGTTGATAAGTTTTTCGTTATATACTTATTAGGAGCTCTTATTAAAGCTCTTAAACAAAACAAAAAGTTATTTTTAGACTTTTTTCATTTGGTACACAAAACAGAAGAATCCTTGGCACATGCATACTAGGGATATTGAGAGCTATGTGAGAGCTCCCAAAATAAGACACGTAATTCGACAATCTGACAAATGATATTTTTGGGATCTTCGCTTCCAACCCAACTCAATATATTTCCCTGTGAAGAACTAGATGATACATTAGTGGAGCTTGGCTCCTTAAGATACGAAAGGTAAGACATATGCGATGCCATCTAAAGGATCTATCTGACAGGATTATCTAAGTAATAATAATAGTTATTTATAAATTTATTATCCTTTCCATCTAGTGCTCAGATCAGTGTTTGGTGTTAAGTGTTCACTAACAGTATTAAGAGACAGAGAATCTAGAAGGCGAAAAGACCGGGCAGTACGCTAGAGAACGAGGAAAATATTCCTTTCTGGAACGTGCAAGTCGTAATTTGTTGAACCCTGAACCCATAGAAACAGGATAAAGAGGGTATATTGGTTGCATCCATCCATCCTTCGGTCTGTATGTTATGTACGAACACGTCGCTCCTGAGAGCGACCGATCCGTTATAGGATCTGAATCCTCTAACAGAGTTGCGAAAGACTCTGATATAAAGCAGTAGAAACAATGTTTGGATGGAATTTACATTGAGGGGTATTAACAATGCTTGGATATTTACAATGAATGCGATTAAAGACATGGCCTAATACTGTAGGGTATTTAGATGGTTTGCCTCTTGCGATTTTGATATTGAGGGTATCCCCCAGTCGGGCACTCCCGACAAGCGCACTCTTACTTTTAAAGTAAATGCATCAAATCCAAATATTAAAAACGTTCAAATAGATGCCATGATTTAGACTCTTGTTTTTACCACATAGATCCACATGTGCATAGTTATATATAGAAATATTTGTAACAAATCGAGCGCCCCTTAATGAAAATACAAGCAAATGAATGAAGCCATCAATCATCATAATTGCTAAGGCGGAAAATATTCATTTAACTTGTCAATCAATGCTGGATGTTTGGACTTTAACAAAAGTTCAGAGTGCGGGCTAAATATATAACAAAAGTTCAATATCGAAAAATGCAAATAAATTTGTTAAAATCCAGACGCGAACGTTGAGGAAATGCAAAAATATTTGGTTTAAGCGCTTCGCTGGGAAAAGGAAATGAGAATCAATCAACGGGCATGGATTGAGCTGGAATGAGAAGGAAATAATAAGTCGAGGGTAAGGTTCTATTAAATATTTATTTTGGCTTGGCATAAATAGCTTACACATTCAAAACACTTAAAATTCGGATTCCATTGTCCGATTCGACTAACTCGTTTCAGTTATTTGAATGTTTTGGCATGATTCACATTTATGCTGTTAACTTTCACACTTAATATTAGATAGGCATTTTATGTTTTTCAATGACAAGTTCTAGTTTTTCAATTTCTGTTCGTTTAAGTTCAAGTATTTTGAAAACTATTTTATGACTGTGTTTGTTTAGCTGTATTTGTTTTTCAATCGAGCTGTTTGCTCAAATTGATCTGATTAATAGACTCAGCCGGTTAATGAAAAGCTGCACTCGTTTCACATTGTTTTTATATAATAAATAGGCTTTTCTTTTCGTAGTGTATAAGTTGCTTGAAAATCGGAGCTTTTATGTTGCGGCCCAAATATTATTATAGCCGGAAAATCGTGTTCAAATTCTGGTATACACCTTGCAGCAATGGGTGGGCTTTCTGATGATCCTCCTTATCATGAATTACAATTCGTTTGACATATATTATATATATATAACAATTGGTAGGGGATAAAAGTGCGGATATGCTCAAGCGGACATGGGCAGTAGCAATAAGCATGTGGAAGGGGGACAATTCAACATGGAGATCAACAAATTCTTATACTAATCTACGGACAACTACACAAACTTAACTGCCATCAAATAAATGTATATATATGTATATGTGCTTGTATATATATAAATACAACTTGACTCTGGGTTTTGATTATGTTAGCTGGACACACACATAAATGCAGCATTTATATAAATAAATTGTGATTAAGTCTAGGTTTTGCATATTGAGCAAATGAATGTTCGCTGAGACATTAATGTACGTGGTTGATTAATAATACTATCCCTCTGGCTTGCTTGTGCCCGAGGCGAAAATGTTAACTTAGACGACCAGGTGCGAGACATCGCTGGTGTAGCCGGGCGAGTAGCGCGGCGGCAATGGATTCTGTTGGGGTCGCGTCTTGCCCAGACCCAGCGCTGGCGGCACCAGACCCGACTTGGTCAGATCGTAGGGTCGGCGTGTGCGCAGCACATCGGCCGCATCCCCAGGCCAGGCGCGCTCCGGTCCCAGGCGCTGACCCAGGCGTGGATAGCGGCGTTTATCCACCGCCAGGCTGATCGTGCCGGGCGGCTGTCTGGCCATCAGACCCACATTGTACTGTCGCTGCATGGCCAGCGAGGCGCGTATTGTCTTTCGTTTCTGCAAATCAGAGATTCGTTTCACATGCCAGGCTTTGTGTGAGGGTCAAGTGTGATTACCTCAATGGTGCCGCGCCATTTGTCCGCCGCGTGCCGGGCAATGTCCAGGCGCTTTTGCTTCTTCACCTGGTGCTTTTTGTAGATGACCTCGATGATGATGAGACCTACGCCGCCAGCGATGCCCACGCCCACTAGAATGAACACGCCCGCCATATTCTTGAGACCCAGCGTGTTGGGCGTCTTCTCGAAGAGCTCGCAGTTCTGCTGGACGTGGCCATGAAAGATCCATTGCTTGTCCAGTTTCTCCATAAAGCCGCCTGTGCAGACAAATATATTTGATTTGCATTGTGCTTCGCTGTGTATTTATGAAGCGCAAACCCACTCTCATGGAACTCCAGTATGGTCAGGGTTACGGCATCCGTCCAGGGCGAACCCTTCTGCAGGCCAACGCCGTAGCCGCTGCGTCCAAAGAGCTCGCCAGCCGTGACCAGTTCACAGTCCTTGGAAGCCTCATATTCGAGCCGAGAAGAGTCCCAGATAAAAGCCATCAGCTTGCTGCAAACGAAAGATCAGATCTCTTAAAAAACAAGTCAAGAAATAGGGCTCGAAATATGTTAGTACAACGCATACGTGAGTAGATAAAATAGTTGTTTTTTTTAGAGGAAATAGATTTAGAGGTTCTCTAAGTACGGGGAGAATACGATTACTACGGCTACTGAAGAGAAACAGAGAAAGAGAAAGAGCGAGGGGGGTAGAGAGATAAAGAGAACTCTAAGAGGTTGCATTGAGTGGGGAGCGTGAAGATTGAAGAAAGTTGTTGTTGTTGTTAGTTATAGTGGCAAAATCATGCGACTATTTGAGCTATAAAGAAAGAGTCGGAGCGATCGCAGGCAAGTTACCCCTTCTTCACATCCTGTATGGCCTGCTCGGCGGTGACATAGTTGTTGGACTCCATGGTGCGATACATATTGGATAGCTCCACCTGGCGGCGGAAGTACATGTCCACCGATGAGCCCTTGACCGTGGCACAGGTCAGATTCTCCATGGTATTGCGCAGCCGGGCATCATTGATGCCGCTCAGCTTCGTCTTGGGTCGCTCCAGCACGAGAAAGGCCGCCAGATTGGCCGTGTACGAGGCGACAATAATCATCGCAAAGCCAGCCCAGACCATGCCCAGCACACGGGCCGAGAAGCTGCGCGGCGTGCCCTCGCCAATGCCGCTGTTGAGCAGCACGCCCCAGGCGAACCACACCGCCGAGCTGAGATTGAGGGCCTTCTCCTCGTTGCTGTCCGAGTGCGATAGCTTGAAGCGTCCAAACGGTGAGAATCTGAGTATTAGAGAATCACTGAGTTAGTACAGCGTATGCTCAATTGTCCAGCTGGAACCATGGCTAAGTGATGTCTGGGGATTTCTACGTGAGGATGTACGCTCGGCTCGCTGCCTTTCAACCGTCAAATACGGCAACGAGCCTAATGTCCAGGCTTAATCACTCAACATGATGGGTGGGGTGCGGGGTGATGATTGGGTTAAGGTTTGTGTCCGGGTTTGGTTAAATAGTAAATCAGATTGTCATTGGTTACGCACCTGTCCAGCAGGTAGAGCACGAGCGCCACAACATGAACCGACACCATTACCAAGATCCATAGCGTGTTACTAAATGGCTGCAAGAAAGACACAAGAGTACTCGATCGGGACGGTTTCTTCTCGAGTATTGTAATGCCTTGGTATTTGAATGGTTTCGAGAATTCGATATACTCGGCACGCTCCGGATTAATGGTTAGTGGTGCGACGATCATGCTAGAAATATACAAAACACACATATTAAATTAAATTCGATTGTAAATGGCAGTTACTCGTACACTCAGAGAAAAGATTATGAAATGAGAACGAGAAAGAAGACCGAATTTTTTTATAAATTGCTCATAATGCTTTGCCCGCATCTAAGAAGCACTGGGAAAACAGTTAATGCATACTCGGGTATGCTTAAGATATCTTGAAAAACAAAAAGTTTTCCATGCAACTTTATTTTCGACCGATCGTTTCTATGGCAGCTATATGGTATAGTGGTCCGATATTGATACAATTTTGCATATATATGAGACGCATAGTAAAAATAACAAATGCCGAGTTTGGTTAAGATATCATGATAAAGAAAAAATTTGTTCATACAAGAACCTACTTTTCGACCGATCATTCCTATGGCAGATATATGATATAGTAGTCCGATCCAGCTGGTTCCGATGTACTGCGTGCAACAGAAAGAGGCTCGTCTGTAAAGTTTCATAACAATAGCTTTAAAACTGAGAGACTAGTTCGCATCGAAACAGACAGACGGACAGACGGACATATATCGACTCGGCTGTTTATACTGATCAAGGATATATATACTTTAAAAGGTAGGAGATGTCTTCTTCTATGCGTTACAGATTTTACGACAAAATTCTAATACCTTCTGCAAGGGTACAATGAAGATTCGCACTTAGGTAAGTTATGCAGGCGGATGCTGAAGGATTTGGGCTGGGAATGGGATTGGGCTTCTGTTGCTCGACAAAGACTGGGAATAGTCCACTTTTGATATCCAGATACTTAATTAATACTTAATTCAAGATCAAAAATGTTGTGTAACTATATTTTCTCTGAGTGTAGCTTCTAGATCTTACTCGGCACGTTCATTGACCAGCTCCCCGATGAGTCCCGTCCACTCCTTGCGCAAGGTCATCGCGCCCGTGTTGTTGCGCAGGATATAGTGCCCGAATTGGCCATCGGGCGACAGGGCCAGGTCATAGGTGAAATTGATGCGCTTCGAGAGCTCGATGAGCAGATCGATGCAGTAGCCACGACAACAAAACTCGTTCGCTGTGGGCAGAGCACAAGATTGAGCCAATTATTGATGGAAGCGAAGGCGGGAAGTCTGGTTATGGAGCTTACTTGTCGCATCGCTGGCATTGAACAGCGGGCAGGGACGCTCGTCCGGCTCGCAGCGGAACTCATCGTCGCCCATGCGCCGCACATAGACAAATGGCTTCTCTTCTATGGTCAGCACCTTGAGGTGCGTGGGTATCATGATGCCCTCCGGCTTGCGCTTCTGCTTGCCGCCCCAAATGATCTCGCTGTCATTGATGCGCATCCGCATCTTGGCCCTTAGCTGGAAGAGGAAATCAATTTAGGGATCTGTCTCTTGAATTTATGCGTATTCACTTACGCTATCGTAGCTGAACTTGCCCACCAGGTGCTGCTTCTGGTGCTCGCGTATGTTGATTACATCGTAGCCGGCGTAAATGCGATCCCCGTTGTCATCGAAGGCCACCTGACCCGTTTCTCCCGTAATATTTCGGCTCTTCAGGTACTGAAAGAGTCGCTTGCCTGTGCGGAGCGCGTTAAATGATGCATTTACTTTGCACTCCTTGGCCAGATTAAATGCTCACCTGACTCCCAGTTGACCGCCGAATCGCCGCAGTCCTTGGGCGCCTCGGCGATGGTCTCGTTCGAAATCATTTCCTTGATGGCCGAGGCCAGCACATAAACGCTGTCCTGCAAGCGATGAATCATGAATAGTTAAACTGTGGCTCCCTTCACCTACTTGACTTACCCTAATGTGTCCCTTGTCGCTGTGGGCGTGCTCCAGCTGCAGGCCGAGCACTCCGTCCGGCGTATTGTTCGCATGCAGCGCCTGCTCGGTAACAATCCACACATGTCCCTCGCCGGTCATATTATATTCACCAGCATCGCGGAATATCACTTGAGCGTCCTCCGTGCTGTAAATGGATATAATAGATATATCTTAATATGCCTGGGGACATGAAATAATAACTACGCTCGCAATAAGCTGAGCAGCTTTTGGTAGAAGGAATGGAGTTTGGCCAAGGGTTAGGCCAGGCCATCTCCATTGTGGAAGAGCATCTTTCAAATATTAGGTGATTTTCCCTAGACATATCCTTAATAGAGACTTTTGGACGTTTCCAATTTATAATGAAATAGATACAGACTTCTCCGAGCCCATAAATTATATGGATTCCTAATCAGCATAAACTTAATTTAGCCATGTCCATATGTCCGTCTATTCTAATGCTTCTTTCTGTCGGAACCAGCCAGCTCGGGCCACTATATCATATTTATATGTATATATATCATATTCCACATATTTACAATGCCAAATGTCTGCAAGGGTATCAAATCTTCGGTGTGTCGAAGATAGCCGCACTTTCCCATTAAACATGATTCTATAAACTTGTAAAAATTTGTAGCATACTTTGAGGCAACAACATTTTTCACAATTTCTAAACCCTTAATTAACTTACCTGGCATACATTAGGTATACCCTAGACTGTGCGGTTTTCATGTCAATTAGGTGCTCCGTAAAACTTTCCAATTTGGGCTCGAATTCAACAATCAGCTCCACGGTGGCACGCACATCGACGTCGTCGTAGTAGGTCTGCGAGGTGGTCTGGAAGCGACCCAAGATGGCGCGTCCATCCGTGTCGGAGCTGTGAATGATGATTACCTGTCGATGGCAATGACAATTCCATAAGTCGACGCGTCATAACTCAGGGCATTTGCTTACCTTGGTGTACAAAAAGTGACTGAGCAATTCGAGCCAAACGTCCGCCTGGTGATAGTAGGGGGGCACAGTGCGCAGGAAAGAGACGTGGATATTCTTGTCGGAAAAGGCCGCATCCCGCGAGGATATGCCAATGACGGGAATGGAATAGAAGCCGCTCGTATAGCTCACAGCTGCCGGCGACAAATCACCTGAGGTTTGCTCATGCGAAACGACAACGGCGTAGACCTGAAAAGCGGCACAGAATGCGAAAGGTAAACGGGTGGCAAACACTGGAGGCCAAGACAAGCGGAAGTGTAAATCGAATTGGGCGTCACCAGCATTTGCAATCGACTGCCAAAATATATGTGCATCATTTGCTGGCAACAGCCCGACCGCCCGGCGCCAGCTCTCGACTGACACTGATTCGTTCTCCTGGGTGTGTAATGGAAGGCTCAAAATGGCCACAAATAATAAATGACAATTACACGTTCCAAATTGATTCCAATGGAGCGCAGCTGAGTTATGTACTCGGCAATGTGTGATTAATGAAGCCTGAGGACATCTTTGTAATGTGCTCCTGGCAGAGTTCCTTATGTGTTCATTTTTGTCATTTAAACTGAGAGCTTTTTGTCAAGTGAATTCTGTTGAAGTCCCAGCTGGACATACTAAAGATATTTTATTTTGCCAAGCAGCACAGGGTATTTAAATTATGACTATCTTGAAAAGCATATTACTTGCTCCCATTTTGCTCGCCGAAATGCGAAGGCAGTCATCCGAGTGAGAGCAGCCAACAAAATGAGAGTATGTGATATGCACAGGCGAATTACCGCTTGTCATCGAGTCATTTCCGATTCATTTCCTTTTGAATTATTAAAATGAAGATGGCGCCAAACGAGGGGTGGCAACACTGGTAATTGTATTTGCGCTGCCAGCCGAGATGCAGATTTTGTCGGGACTGCGGCTAATTGTTAGTTTGTACTTACTCGTTTTTCGATGAGCTTATCGCAGACGTTGAACACCGTTTTAATTGGGTTCTTATCCATGCGTATTGTCTTATCGTAGTAGGTAACTTTGCGCGGCACATACTGCTGATCGAAATTTAGATGCTGCAGGAGGGAGGGGTGGCAGGATTAAAGCACATTAGAATTACGCAATCCTGTTAGGCGAACTGAAAGGCATGAGCACGCTTACCGCTATTGTTGTGTGAAAGTGCAGCTCGCTTTCGGAATTGCTCAATACGCCGCCTATATTGTACGTTGAGGGATTATCTGAAGCTGTGTGCCTTTGTGCTCCAATCGGCAGCACATTAACAATGCCAGCCGCACACAAAAGCCAGCGATAAGCAAATGCAGCAGCCATATTGCTGCGTGCGGCTCTTTGTTTGCAACTTTTAACAAATGTAGCTTTGTGGCGCGCTGATTTCTGTAGCACCCCGCGATTTATTATGCTCTGAACATTTTCTGCAATAAAAATGTTAAGTGTTAAATGCTTTAATGTTTATTTCAAATTTTCCCGCTCCTTGGCGTTGCCACTGCTGATCGCAAGTGTGCAGCGCTGCCCAACCCGCTTCGTTAACTTAACATATGTTAAAGTTTACTTCAATATTGCCAGACTATTCGGAGACTGAACGATCATATGTTTTTGACACTTGTTGCCAGCCCATTGCGTTCAGTCTTCGTCGTTGTCGCGTGTCGCATTGTCGCGTACTTTCTTATCGCGCAGCGCTACGCAAGCAAAATTAAAAAGGAAAAACAATCACATTCTAAAATCGCATTTTAATCATCTTTAAGCTGCCAATTTGTTTTTAAATATATTGATAAAGTGTGTGGCCTTGCAGTGGGTCGAAGTGCGCATGTTGGCTTGATCAAAAATGTGCATGGAAATGTGGAAAAATTGAAATTGAAAATTGACCATTGTTTGCGCGTTTTGTTTGCTTGCGTTGACGTTAACGTTGACGTCGGCTTTATCGTCGTATGCTGCGGTGTCTCAAAAGTTGTCTTTTGGCGTTGTCGCGTTGTTATTGCCGCTGCTGCTGCCTCAGCGGTAAGTGGGCGCGGGGGCGTAGTTGTTGACGTTGTTTTGAGCGTAGTTTATGTATCGCCTTCTGCTGCTGCCGTACGCGGAATTGTTGTCGCGTGTTTTTTCTACGTTTACTTATTGACAGCAACAGCAGCAAAAGCGGCGAACGCTGCCTCTGCCTCTGGCTCTGCCGCTGGCGCTGCTCAAACATTGTTATTGTTATTATTGTATGCGGTCGGGCGCCGTTTTTGTTTCTGTTTCTGCTTCTGCTTCCCCTTTGCGCTTTTTGTGGTTAAGTGCGCGCACTCAAGGTGAAAATTATATTGAGTTCTTTCAAGTGCCATTTCGAGTGTGTCTATGAGTATGTGGCCATAAAATTTAATTTGCAAAAGTTATTCAATTTACGATCAGTGCTCCCATATACATACATACATAATCACACACATACACACATATATATATGATCGATCTGATGATTCAACTATAGCAACTATCAAACCGACGTGAAAATATCTCTGCAAGCAAATCTGTAAAGCGCACAACACAACAGTTTAGATTACAAATCGGAGCACTTGCTATATAACTGAAACGGTAAGTACATACCGACAATTTACTCAACCTGCTGTGCATGCCTTTGTATATATACATAACTAACTGTGTGTGTGTGTCTGTGTGTGTGTGTGTGTGTTCGTAGGTCCCTATAAGAAAAACCCGTTCCACCTGTTGTTCGGCTCAGCTGGGCGCAGGCAATGTTGCAGGTTTTATGGCATACAAAGGGCGTGCTGCACTTGCAACTGGGTCAAGAGTCAACTCTTTGATAACGGTACTATGGCGGCAGTGCAGCTAATTGCTAAAACAAGTTTGCTTTCAAGTTGAATAATTGAAGACAAATCACAAAATATTCAACCCGTTCGCTGTCTATTCAGAATCAATTACAAACAAACACAACAACAACAACAACAACAGCAACGCCCTCTCGCACTCTCACTTTGCAATGAAAAAGAGGGCAGCAGCAGACAGACGCGTGCTTAATTAAGCGCCAGATTGCTGTTGGCCAGAGAGAGTAAGGGAGAGAGAGAGAGAGAGCGAGAGAGGGCGCAGAGCGAAAGAGCTTTCGTACGTAACTTGTTTTTGTTGAGTGGGATGGGCAGATGGCGCCACATGCAGCAGCCACCGCACGCGTTGCATTCAACTTTACTTTTTGTTTTGCGAGCTGTAAAAAATTTCACGCGCAGCTCGAATTTTTTAACAGCACCCACACACACACACACACACATAAAATCTATTTATTAATGCATGCACACAACAGACACACACGTGTGTATGTGTGTGTGAACCGCAGCAAACTGTCGATGACGACTCAATTAAACTTTTAGCGAAAATCAATGACTGAGCCATTGAGAGCACTTACAGTTATGCACGACACACACACACATGTGCATGCGTTGTGCATGCATGTAGCTGTGCTGCTTGTCTATACGTGTGCGTGTGCCTCTATGTGCTTCTGTATGTGCATAAATTGCAGATCAATTGAGCAGCACTAAAAATGCCTTTGCCGAGCCGCATGCCGCGTGCCTCATTTAAAAAAGCTCCATTAACATAAATAGTTAAACGACAATTTAGCTGATAAATAAAAGATACACCTGCTGTACTCATTCACCTGAAGCTGGGCTTCAATTGAGGGCCCTTCATTATATCAAGCATCAATGGCGAATGCTGAAAGTGAGCGTGTGTGTGTGTCTGCGTGTGTGTGTGTGCATGTTTATACAGTTGAAATTGTGGCTTTTGATTGAAATCAGTCGTTATCAATCAGCTAAATCCGTGCAATTCCATGGACACGCACGCAACACTCTTCAAAAAAGAGAAAAAACAACCCCTTTTTATACCCTTCTAAAGGGTACTATAATTGGCTTACGAAATGTGTAACGCATAAATGAAGACGTCTGAGAATCTCTATTTATTCTTGATAACTTTGAACTAGCCAAGTTGATTCATTAGAAGACTTTCTACAGACAGTACATATTACGGAATGAACCGTATCGTATCTTTATATATTATATAGATATACAATTAAATAAATAAGCCTATAAAATAAGTTCTCTGAAAGATCGCTGAAAATGAGCTTGAAACCGATCGGACAGTAAACAAATAACTTTTATACAAACGTTTTCCGCCAATTTACCACTGTTGCGGGTGAAAATTTCAATGAGTTTGAAGCCGATCGGATTGATGATGAAAAAGTTAGTTTTCAAGATACACTTTCTCCCTAACTTATCTGCAAATTCGTTTTAAATCAAAACTATTTTATTAAACTTAAAAGCAATTGGTCGAAAGTTAAAGCTTTCTCATAAAAGCGCTATTAAACTAAGGGTATTCAATCTTCGACTTGTTGAAGATGCCATTCGCTGGCTTTGTTGACAGCAGTTAAATTAAAAACGTTTGATTAAAAGTGTTTTATATTTTGGTCACGTTGCAGATTTCTATGGAAGTGCTCATATTTACTTGTTTATGGTCACATTTTTGATTACGATTATGTAAATGGATTGTCGTTAGTTTATTTAGAGCTGTGAATCACCTTCCCCCAAAAGCGTAAGCTTCGATTTCAAATGCGATACAGCATAAAGTCATGTGTGAACTTAACTAAAACATTAACTGAAATACGCCTTGCTAAAAGCAAATAGTATATAGACAGCATTATAGTTAAAACTAATATGTAGTATATTGGAATGATATAAGCCCTTTCCTGATATACTCAGCATATGGTTATGCTGGGACTTTGAAAGAACTCTAGTTTCTGCGTGGAAATAGATGTCATCCGTCGTCCGTTCGATCTCAAATCAATCGAATCTCAATAAAGACTCAAAATTGAAAGTCAAGTTTGTTTAAGAACGGGAAGACAGAAGAACTGGCTAACATGGTTAAATCAAAGACAATAAATATATATAATCTTATTGTCGTTGGTTAAATTGAGTGAGATATGTTAGATAAATAGACATATTCCAATACAATTCCGTTTTAATTTGATCAGAAAGCATTATCATAAAGATGATAAATAATAAAAGTACTCGTATTTGTTTAGCTTGATCAAGTTTTTTTGGAGTAAAGACGACCTCTATATAATACATATACCAGACCGATCCGATCGGATCTAAATAAGTTTCATTTCTCCGCATTCTTTAGTGCATTCAATTATAAATAGTTGTTTAACTTTTCGATTCGCGAACATTGCGGCTTCTACTCAACATTAACTCAGAGCGTGGCCCCCATTAATCACACTGACTCACACCTATGTAAGTATATCCCTAAGTTTAACCCTAAGTATATCCCCTTTGCCAGTTCAGACTCTCAGCGTGAACACACTTTGGCGTCGCATACCCTTTGTTTGTGTGGCATGTTTGTTATGGGCATATGGTTTTGTGTGAAAACGTGCCATTGCTTACATTTTTTTTTAATTGGTATTTTTTGCTGTTGCTGTTGTTGTTGTTCTATCTGTTGTTGTTTGTTCCATGTGCGGGTTGCATTTTTTGAACCTGATTGCAACTGGCAGCAACAGTCGGCGACGGCTTTTGTGTAATTCGAGCTGACATGCAAATGCGCTCAAATGAACTTTTATTTACGACTGTGTATCTAAAAGCGAACAGTATGCTTTCATTCGAGGGGCTGGCAGAAGAGATATATGTTTAACTACAAAGATAGTTAAAGAAAAACGCATTAGCTTGGCTTGATTAGAATTTCAGTGAAAACAAAAGTATTTCGAATGTTTCGAAAAACTCATAGAAACTTCCTTTATAATGTCTTCAAAATTTGTTTACAAATTAAATAAAACAAGTAAGAGGTTCTAGTCGGGACTAGCTGCCGACTAGGGGATACCCTAAACCCTCTTCCCAACCCAACATCAAATGGATATATATATTCTATTTTAGAAGCTATATGTCAAGTTTGGTGACTCTAGTTCTTATTATTAACCAAAATTGCCCAAAAAACAGGATATCGATATCGATTTTTATCGATTGCTTGGAAACGGAGTAAGTTATCGATTATCGAAACAAACTCGATCTGCGCGGGAACTAGGAGCAACTACATCTAAAATTTCAAGTCTCTAGCTCTTATAGGTTCTGAGATCCTTGTGTTCTTAAAAGACGTCCCATTTTTAATGGGTTCAGGGTATAAAAATAACTTTAGTTAAAGCACCTTGTGCTTGGTTAAAAGCACTTTTTTATCTAATTATCTTCAGTCGACCCTATAGAACTTTATGTCTTTATATAAACAATCAAATATTGTTTGCCATCCCAGAAAGGATTTCTATTGACGGCTTATATACCCTATATATACCCTATAAAAGGGAAAATATACTCTTGAGCAATACATACAATACAATAAATAATATCTTAGCCCAACTTAGCCTAACAAAACCAATAATAATTGTGCAACATCTCAATAGCTTGGATGAACTATATTATGCAGTTTCTATAAGAAGAATCACCGAAAAATGCAATTAAATTTGGGAAAGTATCTTACAACTAAACTGGTTATTTAGCTTCCTTTTTTCCTATTTATTGAAGTCAAATTATCTCAGGTCTATTATTTGAAGTCGTGTTGAGTCGTGCTTGCGCGTGTCACGAAACAAATAACACAAAACACGCCCAACTTTAGTCTCAAATGGCATTTAAAATGTGCGCTTAGTTTATATTTATTACTAAAGAAACGCATTACTCGAATATGGGATATATATTTTACTGAAACAATATTGTATCAACTTTTAACTTTTTGTCGAAATTCCAATATTCTTCTTGCATGTTCACGATGAAAGGTTTATATGTCAAATAATTTGAACTGAATGCACATGTGGCTCGGGATTCTGGGCTCTGGACTCTGGCCTGGCAAATTGGCAGGATATCCTGGTGCTCATGTTGAGCACAAACAGGATGTGCTGCACAGATTTCGCTTCACTCAAATAATTGAATTTTGGCAAATAAACGACAATTGTTTTATGGCAACTGGGTTTGAACTGGCGGCGTAACCAGGCAGCGGGGCAATTGCCCAAAGTGTCGCTCAGACAAAAGCTTCAATCAATGCCGAAAACTTTGAATGTCGCCTCTCTGCGCTCCTGTTGCTTTAACCTTTAACCCTTTCATTGTTCGCCGGCATTAGTTGTAAAGCTGCCAAAGCCAATAAAGAAGCAAAGGACAACGGCAAGGAGCTAAGCGAGGACTATTTGCTAAAGCATTGTGTTTGCACTGAGTCCTGTACTGAGCATGTGTGTGTGTGTGTGTGTGTGTGTGAGTGTGTATCCTATAATACATAACGAGCTTTTTAAGATGATTGCATCGGCTCACAATTCGAACCAGGACCCCACTTAAAGGTTCGATTCGGGCAGCTAGGTTTTTCCACATCTGTGAATCCGCGTTTTTACATTTAAACAAAGCAACTAAATTGTTTTAAATAACATAGTTATATATGATATATGAATATATGATTCCGTTTGACAGATCTGTATTCAACTAATCCAGTTCGGGCTTTAATTAAAAATGATTTTCTTTTTCGTATTGATTTTAACGTGCTTTGAATTAGAGTTGTGTCGTTTACTTCAGACCATGTTCGATTGAACGGGTCATTAGAATGAACTACTGAACTTGTTCAATGATTAGTGAACTAAAACGATCATTTAGTTCACTCGTTCAGCTATTCAGTCGATCATGAACGATAAATTCTTGATACTCGTTCAGTCGATCATGAACGTTGTATGAAACTCAGCAGTTCATCCGTTCCTGAACGATACATTCTTTTGCGATTTTTAGTTCTTAATAAACATAAAAGATAGCGGGAATAGCTGAGCAGAATTCATCGTTTATGACCGACTAAATAGCTGAACGAGTGAACTAAATGACCGATTTAGTTCACGGCCAGAAAATGAACGAGTTAATTTTTTCAGCAAATTGAACTAGAAATCCCCACTCTACTTGGAATCATTCCGGAATTTGTTCTCAGCGTTTTTATCAAGGGTATTTCTAGTGCTTTATTTTTTTTTTGGCGCAATTTTCGAACCCATTTTGCACACACGAATTGCTTAACATATGTTTTGTTCCCGTTGCGCTCCATTGAATTGATCGAACCTTTAAGCTGTTTATTGGCATCCGGACGACACGTCCTTGCCACTCGCCCCGTTTAACATTGTTGACTTTCGTTGTTTGTGTGGAAATCCATTTTTACGCTCGTTGATTGTTTGTTGCTAAGGTTTTTATGGGCTTCAAAATGTAACCAAGTAGAAATTCAAATGTTCAAGTTACTTTCTAATAATTAAATGGCCAAAGGACCAAAGGATATAGATCATTGGGGGAATGCCCAAAGGATATACGGACTCCTGTTTGCTGCTCAAGGCAAAGATATAATGAAAGCATATCAAACTGCACAAAATTCTAGCATATTTAATAGATTCTTTGTCTGTCAATTATAAAATATTTTCAATAATTATAATGATGATAATGAATGGCAACTAATACAAAGTGCCACGCCTCGCCTGAACAAGAATATATAAAACAAGGCAGGAGCTCGAAATATATTATCTAGAAGGTTTCGTATGCTTGTCATAAAAACGTAATTTATTGTTATTAAATAACAATCTTTTCTGATTATCAATACAATTAATTTTGCTAAACATAATTCTAAAGTTTTTGTTGTTCTTAAAGATTTATGCTAGCATATGCGACATGTTTGTACGAACATATGGACAAAGTCTTGCCAAGTATATTATTCTTGAATTGCCGCAAATATATCAGTGCTTCCGCTTCGTAAAGTCATTAGCGAAATTGCATTAATCGTAGCTATATCTGAACCAAACAGACGCAAAGCTCTCATCAGCTTCGGTGTTATTAGCCCCTATAGGGAAAGGAAATAACTTAATCATTTGTATCTGGGGATGAAAATTGGATGAATGCATACAGAGCGCGAAGAATCTAGTGCGAAATTCTGCTTCAGCGTACCCATAGCAAAATGTGTATATGATGTAAATAACGTAACCAAATATAATAAACAATGTACTGACGACAGCGCAGTAGACAATGCTATAGGCCGTGCTGGGCGGATCCATGGCGATTGAGCGGATTTCCACAAAGCAGCCACGCCTTTAAATCATATCACTGAAAATTTCCGAAAAATTTCACATTTAGCATCAGGCAGCATTTGTCCTATATTTGGCATCAGTTCCTTTTTTGTACAGAGTTCCGGACTTGCCTTTAATCACATTATATTGGCTCTATATATATATATACACACACACACACCAACACGTATGTACTATGTATGTATATGTGTATGTGTATACGCGCACAGGGCAGCGGGCGCCTTAAGTTATGCAAACACTTTTGTATGTGTGCCACTCCTACGGGATGCTTTGCTTTCTCTATTCCTTTTGCTGTCGCGCACGCACACACACACACACACGCACACGCACGCACGCTCACACACACACACAGACGCACGGTCGCACAGGCACATAGAACTTTTATCCTTGTTGGTCGAGAGTTTTTGGGGCTGTGCTGCCTCAACTTTCACTGTAAATTTTTTTCTTGAACAAAATAGATTTTAATTTCTTTTGTTTCAGTTTCAGTTTTCGTGCTGCTGTCGTGTTTCATTACAAGTTTATAAAAGCACAAGCTTTTCACATTTCTATCATTTCATTTCACATGCATAACCAATGGCCAGCGGCGATGGCAGCATCGGCCGCGGCCGCGGCGGCAGCGTCGGCAGCGGAGGCTGCCAGAGTTCAGTCGCGCGTACCCTGTACGCTTACCACGATTCCCATACGCACCGTGTCGCTACGCAATGAACACTCGATGGCTCTGCCTTTGGCTCAGTCGCTGCCGCTGTTGGACTGCTGGTCACAACTTTGCGCCTGGCGCGACGCTTTACTACTGAATGTCTGTCCCCTTTGAGTGAGAAAACTTTTGCCAGTGCTGCGCAGCTTTCGCGTTGCCAAGCAGCTTTTTTCGTGCAGCTTTTGAAGCTTAACGAAAGCTGCGCTACGCCTGCGCCCGGTGCATGTAAACAATCATTCGCCCATTGTTTTTACCGACTTACGCTTTGTTGTTTTCGTTCGGCGCACAGCTGTTTTTACCGTTCGCACGTGCGTTCGTCCGCGTCGCAGTCGCAGTCGCAGTCTCTGCCAACGCCAGCATATTGCGCCGACCACTTGTGGCGTTTTTTTTCTTCTTGTGTTTTGTAACGTTGCTTTTGCCGCACGCATGCAGCACGCATAACGCAGCGAGATTTCGGTAAGCATGTTAGTTGAGGGTTTTTAATCTAGTTGAAAATTGATTGGTTTTTAATATGCATTTGCCATAATTTGTCTAATTAGATTAGTGCATTGACAGGCCGATAAGAATTTAACTGAAAGTCATGCGACTCTTGTTAAGCGCGCTCACTCAATGTCGAAGTGCTGAGTGCATCTATAAAAAGGTTTAACTAGTTCCTTGATTGCATTAGTTATAGTATTAATTACGACACCAACTATTTTGTGTAAAATCCCAAAAATCAGTTGCCTGCTAATGCAATAGCTTAAGTGGACAATTCCAGACCTTCAAGTGCTCCTTGAGCCCAATTCATTGTCAAGTCGTTTGTCAAGCTTTGCATTCAGCTAATGTACGAAAACCCACTCGAATACAGCAACAGGCTCTGAAGCGTCAACAACAAAGCTAACACAACCACAATCTTGAGTCTTAAGTTAAGCATGACCCTGACCCGGAAAATGCAATTGCATTTGCATTAAACATGCTAAGTCATCTTCGTCGTCGTCTTTGTTGAAATCAAATCAAATTTGCACACGCCCCATCAGCGGCGCTCAAGCGAATGCATAAAGCGAGAGGCCAACTGAGAAAGCTAATTCGCCGCGCTGATGCGTAAAGCGTGCTGCCGTGTAGAGGGGGGGTGGGCAGCGGCAGCAAGCAAACATGAATGAAAGCAAAAGTTGTGTGTGCAATATGTTTGAGCCAACAACAGCAACAACAAGAACAACAGCAGCTGTTAGAGAGGGAAAAAAAGTCGCACTCAAAAAGCTACGCCCACGACACAGCACGGCACACTGCCTTATATTGCTTAAAAAGCTTTCGCCGCTTGCCTGAGCTTTTTGGCCGCAACTCGACGCATAAGCTTTTGCAGCATTTTCAATTGAGCGCTGGCCTCTTGTGGGTCGCCGTTGCCGTTGCCGTCGCTGTCGCCGTCGTCTGTCGCACGTTGACGTTCCTTGTAGCATTTGTTGTTCGCGGTCGCGCCGTTTAGCATCCGAAAAAATTTTAGAAAATTCAACAATTATTTATTAACGACTCCAACTAAATATCTATAGTGCAAAAGAAACATACATATATATATATATGCATAAATTTGTTGTGCTGCGTTTTGTTTATATTCGAGAAATCAACAATTTGTGAAGATATTTGTAAGTGGTTTTCCCTCGAGCATGAAAATGTACACCTGGCAAACTGAAAAGTGAGCTGTCCGTGTCCGTGTGTGTGTGTGTGTGTGTTGGTATGCGGAGGCTTTGCCAGCATCCGTCAGCAGCAAAAAAAAAGGAAAGAAGAAGAGAAATAGGCAAATATCTAAACTGCCGCCGCCTCACAGGCATGTGTATACATCGTTGCTTCCAACACACACACACACACACACGCACACACATACACTCACATAATAGATGTGTGTACCATAACTCTGCCTATCCATATGCGTGGGAAGCTGTTTGATTGTTGTGATTGAGCGCATAATTTGATTGAATTGCTTGTTAATTAGTTTAATGCCATTCCAAATAAATTCCACTTCAATCGTCTCACAGTGCAAACATCTGTAATTTATTTGATTGTGTGTTAACAAATTAAAGAGCACATTTCATGCCTGTGAAAATCCAGTTAGAAACTTTACGAATACCCCTGACCCGGACTATAATAAATGCATGAGCTGGGGCGCACAGCTGATTAGAAAAATCGGCTTTGCCGTAGGAACACAATTGCCAGCCACACTTTTCACATACTGCCACATGCCACATGCTGCAGCATGACATTTCTTGCCCACATCAAGCGCCAGCTATGAAATTTTAATTTCCTGTTTGACAAACATAAATGTGTGCACATGGGCAAAGCTGCCGGCTAGAGATTCATGCTAATTGGCATGCCCAAATCCCAATTGGAATACAGAGAGGAGTGCCAGGAATTCGACAACAATTCTTGTTCCTGTGCTAATCACCTGTCATTATGCCTGACAAGCCAATCTCTATATACATTCACTTATACTCAACTGGCTTTTCGCTCTCTGTCCAATTTCTTGCAACTAATTAATATTCCGGTGCTGCGGCCTCTTGATAAACAAGAGGAACACACACACACACAGAGCTAGAGATGCTATCGAGTATGCCGAGCATTGCTCAAGATTATGGCCTGGGACTATAATAAAAATCGCCGAGTGCCGTTGACCGAGCCGAATCAAAATAATCACATGCTTAATAGTTAATAACTCAGCGCATGGAATCAGGAAATTTCATGTATTTTATTGATTATTTGTTAATCTGGCTGGTTGTATCTTGTAAGTAGCGAGTGACTTTGAGATACTTTCAACATATTTATATCTCATCTACCTTACGTACAATTTATGCTTGCGAACTTCTACAACTATCAAGTCTGCTAAGATTCCGCTACATTTACACAAGAGACAACAATTTGTGACTTTGTAAAAATCAATGTGGCATGCTGCCATTAAAACTTGAAAACAATAAAACCCATCACATTTGTTTCTCTCTCGCTCGTTGTGCTTACAATTTTATGGCAATGTTTATACCCTGAACCCAATAAAAATGGGTATAAGGGTATATTGTATTTGTGCAAAATCAAAATGTATGTAACAGGCAGAAGGAAGCATCTCCAACCCCATAAAGTATATATATTCTTGATCAACACCAATAGCCGAGTCGATCTAGCCATGTCCGTCTGTCTGTTCGTCTGTCCGTATGTATGAACGCAAGGATCTCAGAACCTTTAAGAGCTAGAGACTTGAAATTTTAGATGTAGGTGCTCCTAGTGCCTGCGCAGATCTAGTTTGTTTCCGATAACTTACTCCGTTTCCAAGCAATCGATAAATATCGATATCGATATCCTGTTTTTTGGGCAATTTTGGTAAATAATAAGAGCTAGAGCTAGAGCTTCTAAAATAGAATATATATATGCATTTGATGTTGGGTCGGGAAGAGGGTTCAGGGTACCCCCTAGTCGGCAGCTCCCGGCTAGAACCTCTTACTTGTTTTTTTATGGCACTTTGTCTCACTCAGCTTTTAGTTCGTATCAAGCCATTATCTATGGACAATAGACAGAAATCATAAAAAAAAAATCGTACAGAGTAAATGAATCGTTAAAGCGAACGAAAAACTCACATTGTGAAAACATCAAGTTCTGGCCTAAAACATTTCCCATAACAAAAGCAGAGCATATTTAATATTAAGCATACGAACCGTTGTCCCAAGAACTGAAAAGTCAATGGACAGAAGAGTTAAAATAATTTAAAGTGAACATCTTTTTTTAAAAAATGGTGAAAACTCTTTTTCTGGAAAAAAACTGGCTAATACCTTCTAAAATAATACGAATATAAGTAAGTTATTTTGGGAATTCTTTTATGACAGAATTTTAATTAAATTAGTTAAACATATTTTATAATGTATGTGGAGTTAAATTGAAGCTCTCACTAGAAAAGAAATATTAGGTATACGACATGTTGTCCAAGGAACTAAAGAGTCCAAAACAAAATTGAAATATATTTAATTTTTGCTAAGCTTTTAATTGTATAGATACACATAGATTGAACTGCTAATTTTTGTAACAGTTAGAAACATTTGGGAGTGCACGACACGAAGATACCCTGCAGCTTTTTCTAACAGTGTCAGAAATAGCTTGGGCTATGCGCTGCCAGCTCAAGCATTTACCCCTTAAATTAATAGAGGAATATAACTAAAATAATTAATATTTAAAACTTGAAGAATACTACTTTCGAAAAAAGTTCGACTGCCCCCTTTAATCATACCTTAACTCATATGAAAGCTTAATTTTGTGGAGAAATAATGTTATACTAATATTATCAAGTAAAATTTGTTCATTATCTATACACTATACGAGCGCTACATGTATTTTTAGAAATATTATCTAAATATCATAAATACAACATGAAGATAAACTTAATATGCTCATGATATACAAAATAAGATTTCAAGTAGAGCTATCATATTTTAGTTTTTATAAACTAAACTAAATGGAACAAAATGCAGCACAAAGTTAATATGCCCGCTGTGAAGCGACATGTGTGTCCATATTTGGAGAAATGAGAAAGTTGTGTGTATATGATTTATGAATAAATTATCTGGCGACACGCCCCAAATGGCATAACGCCCGAAAACTGTTTAGATAGCCCCGTTACCTCTGTGGGTCAGTGGCAGTAAACCTGCTGATAAAAGTAATTCGATAACTAATTATAACTGGGTTATGTCATGTAATTAGAGTAAACAGCGCCCATGTGATTGCTTACAACCATAATGCTCGCATATATAATAAGTATAAATATATATTTGTTTTATTCACACACAGGACACAGCATACAGCGACAACGAGGACAGCGACAAATCTTTGCAATTAACTCGCATAAACGGCTACAAACAAAGCAAAGGCAATTAAACGCAGAGTCGGGAGCGGGCGGGAGCAGGCGGAGACCACCCATCGCCAATCTGCACACCACACACAACACTAGAATCTGCTGCTGCGGCCCACATCCTCCGACATGGGCGACAATATAATTGGCTCGGCAAGCTTCCTCCACTTGGGCGACATTGTTTCACT